CGATCGCAAGCATGGATCAGGGGGGCGAGGATTAGCGACGAGTCCCGTCTCCATGTGAAATCGCGGATTTCCGCCTCCGAACGAGGCGGCAAGGGCATTTTGGGGGAGGGCACTTCCCCCTATCCGTGGATTTGGCGACCGCGCGCCAGATCCATTGATCTCTAATCCATGCTTGCCCGCCCCCGATGCTCCAGGCTGTTCTCTGAGGAGGCGTTGTGCCAAGTTGCGGCGCTGCTCGTCGGTCATCTGGCGCCTGCCCTGGAGCTGCGAGGAGCCCCGCCCTTCGACCAGAGCCTGCGAGTACGTCGGCTCCAGCAGTCGCGGGTCCGCGTGGTGGAAAGATTGTCAGGAGGGAAAGAAACACACAGACACAATTAATCGTCGATTCTCCAGAACATATGGGAACATATGGGAAGTGGGGGGGAAGACAAAAACCCAGAAAATATTTGGACATATGGGGAATTATTTTATTTGTGTGTATTTGTTTGTGTGTCCCAGGGCCCCTTCAAGATTGGCCCATGGCCGCGGCGTGGCCGAGGAGCGCCCTCCAGATGTCGGGGCTCCTCGTGTGCTGCCTGACCGCGTGGGGAGGCGTTCGGGGAGGTGCTGACGGGGGAAGGTGGGCGCCAGCTCGGGCCCGCGGGGCCGCTCAGAGGCGGGCACGACACGCGCTGCCGTGCCGCCTGGGCGTATCCCGTAGCCGAAAGCGCGGCCGAGAAAAGAGGGCGAACACACACACAGACACACACACACACATACATACAGACACACACACACACACACACACACACACACACACACACACACGCACACACACACACACACGCACACAGACAGACACACACACACACACACACACAGACACACACACACACACACGGACACACAGACACAGAAGCACACACAGACACACACACACACACACACAGTTCGGTCGTCGCGGCCCGGCGACTCGCCAGGGCGACGGGCGCCCGCACGGCCGGAGCCGCGCGCGCGCAGTGTCGGCAAGAGGGACAGAAAGGGGAGACGGCCAGCGGCGGGGCAGGGCAGCGGGCAGCGGCCGCGGGGGCGGCAGGGCAGCGAGAGGGGCAGGGGCCGTGGGCGTCGGAGGGGGAGATGCAGCGGGCAAGGAGGCGCCACGCTGGAGCGGGCGGGCAAAAACGGCGCCTGTTCGAGAAACGCCCGAAAGACCCGCAGCGTATTTCGGCTCTCACCTTTGGGTCCTGTATTGCGTTGACACGTCCCAGACCGCCGACGTGTGATTTTTTCGCAACGCCAGTTTGGACCCCTTCCCTGGGATCGGTGTTCCATCCCGCTTCGTTCTGTGATGGCCCTGGGGCCCGGCAAACTTGGAGGCCGAGTACACAGCGAAAAGCCTCCCGTCGTGACTTTTGTCGCAACGCGAGGGTGTCTGGGGTAGTGCGCCTGCGCGCCCTTCCGCAGGCTCGAGGAAGGCCGCGCCGTGTGATGGCTGCCCTCCTCAGTCGCCCAGGGAGTCGATCGTGGCGCGTGACACGCTTGCGTCCTCCAGAACCTGGAGGGCCACGGCCAAGGCGCTGATCGGAGAATCCGCAAGTGGAGGGCGATAACTGGGGGAGCAGCGAGGGCTGTCGAAACGGAGCCCTTTAGGGCCCCTGGAGGGGCCGTCTGGGGCCCGCAAGTGGGGGGCGATAGCTGGGGTGAGGAACCGCCCCTTTGATCGCCGCCGAGTAATTCGCGCCCAAGGCTGAAACAGCTGCTCCCCAGGCCCTTCCATTGCTGTTCCTCCCGCGCTCCTCGTGCACCCAGGCGCTCCCCGGGCCCTCGAGGGCTTCGTTCCGTGTTCGGCGTCCCTTATGTTACGTTCCTGGCTGGCTAGACAGTCGGACCGAGGTGTGAGATCGAGGTCGGTTCGGGGAGGGTACGTTGTTCGTGTTTGTTGGGTGCTCTTGTGCATCCTGGAGAGGGTACCCTTGGATGTTCTGCGAGTTTTGGCCGGTGGAGGGTCTCATGTTCTTGAAGGATGTTTTTCTGTCATAGGTCCGACTGTAAAGTGCAGCAGTTCGCTTCCCCATCGGAGGGAACGCCGCAGCATGTGACACTGGATTTCGCCGCGGCCCAGACGGTCGCAGCGTGTGGCGTCATAGGCCAGGTCGAAGGAGAGCAACTGCACAACCATACATATCCGGGGCTCCGCGCGGGTTTCTTGGATCGACGCTGGACCCTGGCGAAACCCAGGGCACAGGGCCGATCCTGATGCTGACGCTACCTCGCTTCAATCGGGCGTTGGGTCGTAACTCCTGGGAGGTCAACTTCAGTATCGGCGCTGGTGCACCTCTAGTAAAAAATTAGCCGAACCTACCAGGGTCACTCTGGCGTGTGGACGATTCATCGGGCTTAATCGCCCTCTATCGGTCTGCCGAAGACCTCCCGGGAGTTGCCTCCACATGAGCACTGGCTGAAGCATCGGTTGACCGCAGCAATGTTGGGGATGCCTCCGTCTGCGCTTTGGGGCGAGGGCGCCGACTGCGACCCCATCGTGGGCCCTGCCGGAGGGCCCGATACCCTCTGTGCTTCCTGCGTTCGCCGTCGCGAGCGCCACCGACGTCGCCCTCGTCGTCTTCGTGGTCGTTCCCGCGCACGCGCGGTGGGCTTTGACCCTCGCCCGGGAGGGGCCCGAGTCCTGTCGAAGAGGCGCCCCTGCAGCGTCCAGGAGTGTCTGAGCCTCCCGTCCGCCGCATCCTCGGGAGACCGTGGGAACTGCAAGCGAGCAGGTGGACGTCGAAAGTGTCAGCTCCGCCCCCGGAGGTCGCCGGAGGCCCCCAGTGACCCGCGGAGCCTCCAAAGGGTGGAGCCATCCAGAATGTCCGCGCTCCTTCCACGCAGATGCTCGATATTCGTTGGTCTGGGGGAAGAGTATGAAATTGGCGACAAAAGAGCAAGAAGGGCCCACCCTTCGAGCAGTCACAGCCGTGGTGCGAGAGCGGTCTCGCGCGTCCGCTGTGAGGGCCGTTCCCTCGCTAAGCCTTGGAGGCCGACGTGCGAGAAGCACCCTTCTGCATAGGCTCGGGGCAAGCCGCAGACTGCTGTGCCATCGGCGCAGCGGTGATGATGATGACGGTGCAGACTAGGTGGCAATCGGCCAAGAGTTTGTGTGCAAGGGCACCCTCGAGGGCGCGAAGAATTGTGACCCAAGAAATTGTGAACAATTATTCGCGCTTCGGGGTTCGGCTCCGATTTTTCCTCATGTTCTTCGTCTCCCTTGGCGGTCGGCGCGAGAGCGCGAAGTTGTTCGCGCTTCACGCAGCGCGAAGCTATCTGGAAGTTCTACATGGGGATGTTCTACTTGGGGGGTGGTAGCGTTGTGGGATGGCATTGGTCCAGCTCCTTGGGGCGCCGCCTCGGGCGCGACCTCCCTTTCCTCCTCACGCGAGGCGGCCCTCGCAAACCCAACCACCCGCACACGCGCGGAGCAAACTCCCTCCGCGTGTTCTCGTTGCCGGTCCCACTCGTATTGAGAGGAGGAGAAGGAGCAGGAGCAGGAGGAGGAGGAGGAAGAACAGGAGGAGGAGGAGGAGGAGGAGGAGGAGGAGGAAGGGGAGGAGGACGTAAGAGGAAGAGGAGGAGGAGGAGAACGTGGAGGAAGAGGAGGAAGAGGCGGAGGAGGAGGAGAAGGAGGCGGAGGAGGAGGAGGAGGAGGAGGAGGAGGAGGAGGAGGAAGAGTAGGAGGAGGAGAGAGGGAAAGGTAGGGAGAGAGAGGGAGAGAAAGAGAGAGAGAGAGAGAGTGAGGGAAAGAGACACAGAGGGGGGGAGGGGCAGAGGGAGAGAGAGGGAGATGGAGAGAGAGAGAGAGAGAAAAAAAAAAAGGGAGCGCTAGCCAGAGCGCTGTCGAGCTACGCCTGTACCCTGGGCAGCCACTCCTGCCGCGCTGCAACGCCTTCGTCCTTCTTCGCGTTATCCTCCTCGTGATCCTGCCGCGTCCTTCCCTTCAATCTGCGGGTCCTTACCGGCCCGGTGCAGGGGGGGGTATCGAGGGAGGAGGGGGGGGGGATCGAGAGAAGAGGGCGGGGGAGAGGGGCGGAGCGACGGCGCGACGGCGGAGCGGATGGACGGAGAGAGGAGGGGAGAGAAGTGGGGGGAGGGAGGGACGAGGGAGAGAGTAGGACGGAAGAGGCAGAGAGGAAGGAGGGAGGGAAGGACAAGGGGACCAGGTGCGGAGGGATTGCGGGTGTGAGGGGACGGGGGAGAGGAAGGGATAGGAAGCGGGAGGGAAGAGGCTGACTGGAGTTTGGGGATGATGGACGTGAAGCGGAGTCGCCCAATTGGGAAATCGGTCTCGGTTTCTGTCCGTGTCGTGCGTGACGTGCGGGCGAGGCGAAGTTACGCGAGTGCGAGCAAGACAGATCCTGGCCTTGTTATGGTTGGCAGCCTTTCGCATGTTGCGCCATTCCGGCAGCCGGGTGTAGCCGCGGTTGTCCCGTGGTTGTGGTTGTCCAGTGGCTGTCTTGTGGTTGTCCTGAGGTTGACTCTCAATGGTTGTCCCGATGGTTTTGTCTTGGTGTTTGTGCCGATGGTTGTCTGTCCCGTGGTTCTCCCGTGGTTCTCCCGTGGTTGGCCCGTGGTTGGCCTGTGGTCGTCCCGGTGGTTCTCCCGTAGTTGCCGCGTGGTTGTCGCGTGGTTGTCCCGCGGTTGTCCGCGCTTGTTCGCCGTTGTTTTGTGGTCATCCCGTGGTTGTCCTTTGTTTTTTGTTATGATCGCGCGATTGCCCCGCCAGTGTCAAGTGGTTGCCCCGCTGATGCGCTGTTAAAAAGCTACTCAGATAGACATTGAGACTGATGTATAGTGACACCGGTAGATAGATGTCGAGATCGATCGATTGATAGATTGCGAACCCGATTCGACGTCAAATACAAACCGACAACTGCATCCGTTCCCCTGGCCTCCTTGTCAATAGAAGGATTGTCCTATAGGCATTGCTCTTCTTTCAAAGCTACGGAACATCCAGCTTCTATTGCCCCCAGGTGTCTTTGGGGCAGAAGCTTGTGACGCAGTCCTTTGCGGACAAGGCGTTCTTCTGCAACTCGGGAACGGAGGCGAACGAGGCCGCCATCAAATTCGCGCGGAAGTTCCGGCCGCGGATGGCCAAAGGGGGGCATGGCGTGGCTCATCGCGGGCGTGCGGGCGTGTTCAGGGCGTTGGTATAAGTAGATGACGCCTGAGCGGCAGTTAGGACGACTCGATCTGTGTTAAAGGGCGTGGGTTACGCTTGTATCAACGCTGTCTGGCTACACCGCCGGGATCAGTCGAGCACTACTGTAGAATGAGCGGGCGCAACGAGGTACCACAGGAGATCTACGCTCTGGTGTGACGGTGATTTCCACGCTGCATGATTACTCATACGGTTGAGCGACATATGGTGTGATATTCATCGGCATGCGCGTTTCTCGCTTCTAGTTGCAGAGCCCATTTCCGATCCGTCCGCAGTGTGTGATAGGTTCCCCTTCCCCTGAGCCCTCAAAGGCGCCATGATAAGGACCTCTTCGGGTTTAGAAGGGGCTTAAAGTGGAGACCCGTGCCAAGAAACACTCTGCTTGCCTCCAGGGTACCCTGGGTTTCTTGGGTCTCGATGGTTTTGCCACGAAGAGCGTGGCCTTCCCACATCAGAGATCAGTGGACGTCCTGGGGTCTCAGGGTTGGGCTTCTTGTGGATGGCTTCTTGTGGACTGGCCTCCCCTGGAAGCACTGCTCTGCCTCCTCCCGCGGCTGCCCCTCGCAGGCTGCCCGCAGGGGCGCGCGCCGTGGCCCGGGGCCCTCGCAGCTGGCCTTCCCCAAGGCGCGGCGGCGCGAGGGCACGAAGGGCACGAGGGGAACACCGCGCGTGCCGCACGGCGGGGCGCGAGGTGCTCGCGCTGCGAGGAAAAAAGCAATAACAAAAACACAAGAAACAAGCAAAAAAACACAAAAAAAAAAAACGGGAAGCTGTTGTTTTCGGGCTCCTCCGGGGTCCCTTCTCGGGCCTCGGGGCCGACAAGAGCGACCCTGAAGAACGGGCTCCCGGGAAGGGAGCCGGACTTTTGGGGGCCACGTGCGTGCCGCACGGTGGGGCGCGAGGTGCAAAGCGAGGAGGCCCGGTTCCTCCCGGCGCGCCTCGTGCACCCGGGCGCTCCGAGGGCCAAGAGGGGGGCTGCGGTCCCTCTCTCGGCGGCGGGCGACGGGGGGAAGCGAGACTGGAGGAGGCCTTCTCAGAAGGCGGCGTGGCTGCTCAGAAGCCCTCGCGCCTCTACTGCGGAGTGCTCTGTGCCTCTTCCTCCTAGGCAACTTCTCGGGAGGCCAGGGAGCTCTCCGAGCCTTCGGCGGAAGCCCGCCCCCTGTTGCTTCCCCCCCCCTGGGGTGCTCGCCGCAGGCCCGGGCTTCCGGGGGTCAGAGCCCGTGCCTCCGGCGACCTCTCGAGGTGATCTGGCCATCCCCGGAGAGCTCTCGGCGAGGCGCCGCCACCGGAAGGCATCCCTCGGGGGTGGACAGAACCCCCAACAGTGAGACGTCGATTAGTGAATTGTCCGTTTTCGGTTCTCGAGAGGGCGCCGTGGCGGTTATGTTCCAGGCTTGCGCCCACCAGGTTTGGGCCTCAGGTCGTTTTCACTAAACTACATTTTACTAAAGGGGGGTCTGTCCATCCCCGAATCCCGGTGCTTGAAAGCCGCAGGGAAACGGTGCAGACGTCCGAACATCAAGCAGTGGCGGAGCGTCCTGGCTCGCCTACAGCCCTGCCAGACAGTGTTCTAAGAACCTTGCGTGGTGTCCACTAAATGTTCTCAGAACATTTCTGGTTGAGATTGTCTTGTTTTAACACATCGGGTCTATGTTCTAAGAACATTGACATTGTTATGAGAGCCGCCTTGGGTTCTAAGAACATTTCGTGGCAGGACTTAGGAATGCCGAGACGGTTGGTCCCTGCTCAAGAGCAGCTCCACTTTCGAGCCCGCCCCTGCGCAAATCTCGACCCTTCCCCCCTGGGCTCGCCGCCGATTCTCTATAGCGCACCCCTCGGCACAGTGCAGCGGCCTGCCCGTGTCACGCACTGGCGGTCTGCTGCCTACCGGTTTGGGGGGCACGACGACGACGACGACGACCTCCATTTCGCGAGAACGGCCAGGGACCAGCCCCCGCGGGGTCGCTACCGATGATCTGGCGCTCCTCTCGGTGCAGTGCAGCGGCCTGCCCGCGTCACGCACCGGCGCTCTGCTGCCGCCTGCTGGTTGTCGGGGGGCCTCCGCGCGCTGGCCGGCTCCTCTGTTGCGGCTGGAGTGCAGTAAGTGCTCGGCGGTCCTTCTCGAAGGTCGGGCGCTCGTTGCAGCCGGACCGAGGTACAAGATCGTGGTCGATTCGGGGAGGCACTTTTCTTCCCCACCCCGTGCATCGCCCCCCCCCTTGAGGAGGAGGAGGAGGAGGAGGAGGAGGAGGAGGAGGAGGAGGATAAGGAGGAGGAGGAGGGGGAGGAGGGGCAGGAGGAGGAGGATGAGAAGGCAGGGGAGGAGGAGGGAGGAGGAGGAGGAGGAGGAGGAGGAGGAGGGAGGAGGGGGGAGGAGGAGGAGGAGGAGGAGGAGGAGGGAGGAAGAAGAGGAGGAGGAGGAGGAGGAGGAGGAGGAGGAGGAGGAGGAGGAGGAGGGGGAATCGCCCCACCCCATGTATCGCCCCCAACCTATTTGTCGCCACCATACTGCGGCTGGAGTGCTGGAAGATTCGGCTCCTTCTCTCGACGGTCGGGCGCCCGTTGCAGTCGGACCGAGGTACAACAGGTCGAGATCGATTCGGGGAGGGTGCGAAAGGTACCCAAATCCCTACCTGTCCGTCGTTTTCCGCTTTTTGGGCCCCCCTGGGCGGCCCTCGTCGCCACCGCTGGATTCGCCTCGAGATCTTGGTCAGAACGCACCCCGGGAGAGGTCCAGGGAGTAGCGGTATCGGTACCTGTTGGCTTCCCCAGTTTCGGGGAGGGTGCCCCAATGTTCGTCGTGTTTGCTGGATGTTCTTGTGCATCCTTGGGAGTGGGTACGCTCGAGTGCTCTTCATTTAAGCCGGCGGAGGGTCTCATATGTTTTTCTGGCCTCGGTCCGACTGTGTCGCGGGGGCAGTAAACGCGGGGTGAAGGAACGTGCGCTTTTCGTATACCTGTTGGGCCCGCGGTGGCACTTTCATGGGCCCTCCGGAGCCCCGGTAGGGCGACTTTCCTGCAGTCCTCGACCCCCCTGCGTCTATTGACCCCCGTCGCCAGCCCGAGACTGGCCGTCCGACCTGCACCTAGCTGCTCGATTGCCCTTGGATGGCGGGGGCTCGGCTCGCCACAGCTAGCCCTAACCAAATCCAACCGTCCAGTCGTTCTGGGGTTGTTACGAGTTCGCTTCGCGGCGGCTGCATTTACTAGCCCCGTTGCGTTTGCACCTTTGCTCGCAGGCGATGTGTGCACAGTGCGCCTGCTCAAAGCGCTCGCAAACAGTGATTTGTTTGCTCTTAATGGTTGGCTGCGCGTTTGCGACAGTCGAGTGGCGTGATTGCAGATGTTTGTTCGACGGACGCGCATTATTGCTAGAAGTCTGCATGTAACAATGCAGTGTTTGGGATGCCCACGCGCGTACCAGTTCATCTCCGAGGTGGACTCCATGATGATGTCAAATCGATGCGTAGTCCCGGCCGATTGGGAGAGCGCGCTCCCCGTAAATCATGGTGATATCAAACAGATGTTTTGTCCCGACCACGTAGACCGTACGGAAGTTTAGAGCGAGAGCGTGATTATCGAGTGTCGAGGGCGCGGCGATTGAAGCAATGGCGAGGAAGTCCAAGGCGAGAGCGCGTGTCTTGGATGAGTTGTGATGACGTCCCGCACGAGGGCGCGATTTTGAATAAATGGCGAGGGTATATCAGGCGGGAGGTGGCGTTGTCATTCGGGGGCCGTCAACCCAGTCTGAGGCGCAGGTCTTTCTGTTTAAAAAATCAAGGTGCGAACCCATGGAGGGGCACTTCATTTAAACAGCCGAAATGGGCACAAGGGGCGCGGATCAACATCAGTTATTTTTTCAGGAGTGAGAGTTCAACAACGTCAACAACAATAATTTGAACATTCTTCGCTCTGGATGATCCCTCGTCGTCTTTGGTCGTGCCCCCTATGGGGGGTATATCGTCCTTCCCTGCGACTTGTAACTGGAGCAGCCCTGACCGCAGGAAGAACATAATTAGTGGACACTGGAGAGCGCGAGAAGGAAGGGAGTGCAGGAACGGAGGGAGGAGGGAAGGGGACAAGAGGGACGGTGGAAAAAGACGAAGGACGAGAGAGGTTAGCAAACTGCATTAGCAAGAGGGCATGGCAAGGAAGTCTCAGGCGAGAGCGCGGTTCCTGCATAAGTTGTGAGGAATCTCCCGAGCGAGCGTGCGACTCCAGAGCGTCGAGAGCGCGATTCGTTGTTGTTGTAGTCTGAGGCGGAATACGTTCTGTTGCAGAAAACTGGGTGCGAGCCCTTGGATGGGGCACGTCGATTGAAAACACTGGCACGGTGGGGGATCCAGAGAAGTTCTTTTTAACAACAAGATCCCAACAACATAAACAACAACAGCAACCGCAACAGCAACAACGACAACAGCAACATCAACGAAGACAACACCAGCGACAACGACAGCAACGACGACAACATCAGCACTAAGTTTGTTCCTGTTCGCTCAGAACTGCTCGCGAGCCATTCAGCACGTATATCCCAAACCCTTGATACCCACCTTCTTCGCTTCCGATCGTCCCCGCTTAGGGGTATGCCTTCTTTACCTGTACCTTCTATCCCGTGCAGCCCCTGAGGCAGTGGAAGAGAGGACGAATGGAAGGAAGGGACAAGGAGCAGGCGGATTGCTGAAGCGTGCGTCCTGCATGAATCGCGAGGGGGTCTGGATAGGTAGCGCGATACCCCAATGAATCGTAGAGACATCCAAGGCGAGAGCGTGAGTCCTGAGTGCGAGGGGGCGGCGCCTGCTTAAATTCATAGGAAATGCCACGCGCGAGCGCGATTCCTGTTGAAATGGTGCGGGCGTCCCGCGCGAGAGCGCCATCTGGGAATACGTTGTGAGAGAGTCTCGGGCGGGAGCCGTTGCTGTTCTCGCAAACAGGGGCCCAACCACACAGTGTGGTGACACCTCAGTTCCTTATTGTAAAAAATGGGTGCGAGCCCCGGGACAAGCATCTTGACTGACAAGTATCATGGCTGCTATTCAGGAGCGATGATTCCACAAGAAAACGACAACAGCAACAATGATCATGTTGTTCGCTCTTACATGCTCGTGTGCTGTTCAACACGTATATCACAAACCATCGATACTGGGCCTCTTCGTCCCGACCGTACCCCCTTAGGGGTCTACATGTCTTACCTGCGACGTGTATCTCGTGCAGCCCCTAAGGCAGGGGAAGATACGGACGGAAGGAAGGGATAAGGGGCAGGCGGGTTGCTGAAGCATGCGCCCTACATGGATCGCGAGGGAGTGTGAATGTATAGCGCGACTTCTAAATAAATCTTGAGGGCATCTACAGCGAGAGCGTGATTCCTGAGTGTCGAAGGCGCGGCGTTTGAATATATTGACGGGAAGTTCCATGCGAAAGCGCGATTCTTGCATACACTGTGAGGTATCAGGCGGGAGCGAAGCGGGCCATGGGCCCGGTTTGGTGACACTTCGCTGTTTGTTGTAAACAAACAGGGTGCGAGCCCCAGGAGCAGCACGTTCATTGAAACAATAAATGCTTACCAGGGATTGGGGATCAACAACCCTTATTCTTTAGAACTGAAAATTCAGCCATAACCAGAACCACAATCACAACAACAATCATTGTACGAGTGTTTGCTTATATCGCGCGCTATTCAACAAGTATATCCCAAATCCTCGATACCCGCCCGATTCTCTTCGATCGGACACCCTTGGGGGGGTATCCTTTTCCTACCTGGAACGTGTATTTCGTGCAGCCCCGAAGGCAGGGCAAAAGAGGACGAATGGAAAGAAGGGACCCGGGGGAGGCAGGAGGATGGAGCACGAGAAAAAGTAGCAGGAGAGGGGGCTAGGAGCAGAAACCACGTGGCAGAACCAGGCGGGCAGACCGGGCTGGTAGACCCTAACGGGCTGGCCGGGAAGGCGGGCCCAGGCGGCCAGGTCGAGCAGGCGGGTTGTTGAAGCGTGAGTCTTGCATGAAGCGCGAGGAAGTATCGAGCGATAGACCGGTTCCCAAATAGATTTTGAAAAAAGCCGAAGCGATATTCCAAATTGTCGAGGGCGCGGCGTTTGAATAAATCGAGAGCACGTCCCACGCAAGAGCGCCATCCTGCATAAATGGTGGGGAAGTCCAGCGCCAGAGCGCGATATTGGAACCAATTGTGAGGAAGTATCCGACTGGAGCCGTTGTTCTTCTAGTTCGGGACCCAACAACAAAGTGTAGTGACAGTTCATTTCGCCATGTGAAAAGCCGCGTGCGAGCCCCAGGAGGAGCCGATTCAAACATATCATGGTCACTGGGGAGATCCGCATTCATCCAGCAGCAACAACAACAAAATTACTTAGCCTGGCGAGGGACCCAACGACATGCAGTTGTAAGTACCGCAGTTGTGGGTATCGTCTTCCGTGGAGCTCCCTATGAGCTACGAAACGCCGTACTTGGTGGGGGAGACGCATGCGAACTGCACCACTGGAACCTTCGGTGGAGCTCCCTCTGGGGCCACGGGACGCTATACTGGGCGCGGGGTACGCATGCGAAGTGAGCCACTGGGACCTTCGGTGGAGCTCCCTTCTGGGGCCACGAAACTGTGTACTGAGCGGGGGGGATGCCTGCGAAATTCGCCATTTGGACCTTCGGTGGAGCTCCTTCTGGGGCCACGAAGCGCTGTAATGGGGGGGGGCGCATGCGAACTGAGCCATTGGGACCTTCGGTGGAGCTCCCCGTGAAGCCACGGGTGGGGGGGGGCTGCATGCGAACTGCGCCATTTGGACCTTCGGTGGAGCTCCCTCTGGGGCAACGAAGCGCCCTAGTGCCCTAGTGGGCGGGGAGGACGCATGCGAACTGCGACAGTGGGACCTTCGGTGGGGCTTCCTCTGGGGCCACGAAACACTGTACTGGGTGGGGGGGGGACGCATGCTCGGTGGAGCTCCCTCTGGGGCGACGAAACGCTGTATTGGGTGTTGGGGGGGAACGCATGCGAACTGCGCCACTGGGACCTTCGGTGGAGCTCCCTCTAGGGCCACGAAGCTTTGTGTTGGGCGGGGGCGGCGCATGCGAACTGCGCCACTTGGACCTTCGGTGGGGCTCCCTCTGGGGCCACGAAACGCTGTACTGGGTGGGGGGGCGCATGCTCGGTGGAGCTCCCTCTGGGACCACGAAACGCTCTAGTGGGCGGGGGGGAACGCATGCGAACTGCGCCATTGGGACCTTCGGTGGAGCTCCCTCTGGGGCCACGAAACGCTGTATTGGGTGTTGGGGGGGAACGCATGCGAACTGCGCCACTGGGACCTTCGGTGAAGCTCCCTGTAGGGCCACGAAGCGTTGTACTAAGCGGGGTGGACGCATGCGAACTGCGCCATTCGGACCTTCGGTGGAGCTCCCTCTAGGGCCACAAAACGCTGTACTTGGCGCTGGGGCGCATGCGAACTGCGCCATTTGGACCTTCGGTGGAGTTCCCTCTGGGGCCACAAAACGTTGTACTGGGTGGGATGGACGCACGAGGACGTCGAAGGATGGGGAGGAGGAGGGGAAGCGGAGGAGAGGAGAGGAGTGGAGAGGAGAGGAGAGGGGAGGAGAGGAGAGAAGAGGAGAAGAGAGGAGAGGAGAGGCGGAGCAGGAAGGCGGGGCGATGTCTCTTCAAAGCGAGGACCCACCACCACAGGAGTGTTGGGAACAAGAGTAACAATAACAACAGCAGCTACAGCACCAGCAAGAGCAGTGAAAACAAGAGTAACAATAACAACAGCAGCTACAGCACCAGCAACAGCAGTGAAAACAATCAGTTTAAGACGGTTCGCTCTGACCTGCTCGCACTTCAGTCAACATGTCTATCCCGAACCTTCGATGCCCACCCTCTCCGTCTTCGATCGTACCCCCCTTGGGGGCATATCTTGCTTGCCTGCGACGTGTAGTTGGAGCAGCTCCTAAAGCAGAAAGAGGGAGCTGCAGGAACAAGCACATAGCGAGGAGGAAAAGAGTGTGGAGCAAGGGGAGGGAGAAGGATGGAGCACCAGAGAGATTAGCAGGAGAGGGCCGTGAGCAGGAAAACAAGCGGCAGAACCAGGCCAGAGGGCCGGGCTGGTGGACCCTTCCGGGCGGGTTGGGAAGTCGGGCCTGGACGGCCGGGTCGAGAGGGCGGGTCGTTGAAGCGTCAGTCTTGCTTGGAATATTTTTATTGGTAGCGCGATATCCAAGTACATCGTGAGGAAGTCCGGAGCAAGAACGTGATTCCTGAGTGTCGAGATTCATGAGTGCCGAGGGCGCGGCGTCTGCATAAATTGTGAGAATGACCCACAGCGAGAGTGCGATTCCTGGGCAAATTGTGAGTAAGCCCAGCGCGAGAGCGCGACCTGGATTAAATTGTGAGGAAGTATCAGGTGGGATCCGTTGCTGTTAGCGTTGTGTTTGTGAACTTGGGGCCGAGAACCCAGCCTGAGGCGCAAATCTTGGTCCCTTTGAAACCCATTCAAACTTGGCATCCGGGGGGATCATCCATCAACAACGATCCGTCAGGCATGAACTTCAACAACACCCCACGTTCAGAATCGGCACCGCGGACCCTCCTGCAGCCACGCCCCCATATACGTTGTAAGACCGCTTGGTCCCCTCACTCTGATATGCATTCGTATTCTGGCACAGCTGGGGCAGCACAGCTGGCGGAGGAGGAAGAAGAAGAAGAAGTAGTGGGCACGCTGAGGTTCCATCACAGCGCGGGGAAGCCGCGCGAGCGCATCGTCTGCTTCGAGAACGCCTTCCACGGCCGCACCATGGGGGCGCTGGCATTGACCTGGAAGGAGGGCTACAAGGTCAGGGGGGCAGCAGCAGGAGCAGCAGCGCGAGAGCCCCAACTGGAAACGTCCACGGACCCCCTCACCGATGTCGGGCCCAGGATCCGAGATCACAGCCTCGGCGCTGAAGTGAGGACCACGCTGGCCCGGGAGGGGGCTCGGATTCTCAGGCAGTTCCTCGGGCCGAGGTCGGGGAACCTCTGCGTGGGGCCTGGGCCAGGCCACAAGGGCGTACACGGTACACGCCGCCCCCGGGCCTTGGCAAGGGCCCGGGGTCGGTGAGGCGGTCCGGTGGTGTCCCCGGCCCCCACGGCTCCACTTCCCGCCATCTCCTGTCACTCCACCTCCAGCCACCTCCTCCACCGCCTCCTCCTCCTCCTCCTCCTCCACCCGTGGCGCTCTGGGGGCGAAGAGCCGCTCTGTGCCCGCAGCCTCGCGAGCCGGGCCCCTGGGCCGCGACCCCGCTCGCTCGCGGATGCCACGCGCGGGACGTCACCGTACACGACCGCGCATCCGCGGGATCGCGCCCCAGGCTCCAGACCGCGCGGGTGTGGGTACGGATGCGCTTGCCGCTCGTGCACCTCTCCTGTCTTCTCCCCGCGCCCTCGCGCACGGCACGCGGCCGCCGGGATCCCGCCGCAGGGCCCCTCCCGCTCCTCGTCCGAGCGGGCGGCTCGACGCGGGAGCTCGGCTCCGCCCCGCTCCCGGTGGCGGCGTCACTCTGGAGAGGAGCAGTCAGGAGCGAAAGAAGGACGTAACACGTACATGAATCCAGGCTGGTTTCGAGAGTACGCATTGCGCAAGTATCCGTCTAACGCGGCCAGTCTCGCAGATCGAGGGGCCGTGTTCATGTACATAGCTGGACGCGTACGTCCTTTGTGGGCTCGACAGAGTGCTCCAGGTTGTGCCATCAGCGTGAGGGGGGTCGATCACGCTGGGGGTGTAGCAATGGGCTGTCCTTCGCGGGGCATGGGGGGCGGGGGGTTCGATGGGGGGGTGCGGAACGGGCCGTCGGGCGGGCTGGTATGAGGGGGTGCTCAGTGAACCATCCGATGTATCACTGGCACGCCGCCTTCGGGAGCTCGTCGGCGTGCTACTCCTTCGTCCTTGCCCGAAGACATGTTGTGCTTCGACAGCAGTGCGACGCTGGCAGGTTCCCGCGGCGGTGTGTCAATCATGCTGGGCTTGCTCCCCCAGTCACAGCTCTGGGCCAAGGGAGCCTTGCATTCCACCCCTCCACAGAGCAGCACGATGTGACTAGAGGGGGAGACGGAGGGAGACGAGAAGGGCGAGGAAAAATAAAGCAAGAGCGGAGGAACACGAGGGGGACCAGGAGGAGGAGGAGGAGGAGGAGGAGGAGGAGGAGGAGGAGGAGGAGAAGGAGGAGGAGGGAGAGGACGAGGAGGAGGAGGAGGAGGAGGAGGAGGAGGAGGAGAAGGGGAGGAAGAGGAGGCATGGGTGGAGGAGGGGGAGGATGAAGAGAACCACAAGTCGGGGGAGGACTGGAAGGAGGAGCAGAAGGACATGCAGGAGTGGAAGCGACAGCGGCAAAAGCACGAGAAGATGGAGGAGGAGCAGGGAGGAGGTGTAGGAGGAGAAAACGGCCGATGAGGAATGTGGGTGACGGGTTGCAACGGTCAGGGGCAGCAGCGGGGGGATCGTCCGCAGCTGGCCGGGGAGGGGGACGAAGTGGGGAGCAGGAGCAGGAGCGAGTGGAGGGGGAGTTTACATATACATCGAAGGCTGGGGTGGCACGTACACCCCCTCAGGGGTGAAGCCGACCCCGTCACGAGGGTGACGCCGCGCGCCCTCGTGACGAAGGCCTCTGTCACGAGGTCGGGCCCGTGGCCTCGTGACAGAGCGCCTCGCCAGGATTAGCGCGCGCGCGCCCTAAATATATGCGCCATGGAAGCAGAGTCATATGTGCGCATATGGAAACATCATTAGTCATATTCGTCATATTCCATTCGATGGTTATTCATATGTCGCCCCCATATTTCCATATAGCGACATCTATAAATACATATCGTGTGTATATGAATAATATCACCACCATAAATAAATACATGCGCGCGGTAATGTGAGTAGTACTCTTCCCATATATGAAAACGAGGATGCCACATCTCGGACCGATCGATGTTCTGAGGCGCCCGACATTCTGAAACATTGGAGAGGCCTCCTCCTCCTCCTCCTCCCCCGCCCTCCTCCTCCACCCGGCGGCGACGACGACGACGCGGGCTCGCCGCCGCCGGCCCGCCGCCGTCGCTCCGAGGGCGCCGCCATCCGAAGAGGGAGATGCGGCAGCAACGGCGGCACACGTCAGGGGAGGGCCGTTTGAGACGTTGGGAGTTGGCCTTCGGGGGAACCCCTCGTCGCCACGGCTGGACGCAATGTGACAAATCAAGTCGTTGGGATCCCCCGAGGGGTCCAGGGACCGATTTTGATCAGATTTCGAACTGTCGGTGTCTCAAGTCGCCGGGCTCCGAACAAGGGTAAAGGAGGACGAGGAGGAGAAGGAGGAGGAGGAGGAGGCGGAGGAGGAGGAGGAGGGGGCGGGGGAGCAGCAGGAGGGGTTGGGAGGAGTGAGGTGGAGGACGAGGAGAAGGGGGAGAGGAGGAACAGGAGGAGAGGAGGAGCGCTCGTCGCCGTCGCCGTAGCCATTTGGGCTCCCCAGGGCGGCTTTTCGGGTCGGGCGAACGGGGGGGTTTGGGAAAGGGGGGGTTGCGAAATCTGCTGCATGCAGCTGGTTTCGGCCCGACCGAGGGGCCCATTCCTCGATGCATGGGCGCCTCCCGGCGCCGTGAGGCGCCGGGAAAATCAGCTACGGCAGGTCCGTGTCGTGCCGACTTCGGCGTTGGTTTCTGACACCGCGGGGATCGTTCAACCTTGAACGATCGGCCGTTTCCGAAACGTCCAAATCGTTCCACATCGAACGATTGTGGGTCGCCCGCGGCCTTCAAAATTGAACGCCGCTGGCGGGGTCGCCGCCGGTCGACGCGACGCGAACCTACCGTGCGTGAGCTGATTCTCACCCCCCCCTTTGCTATCCCCCCTTTCGCCCGACCCGAGCTTTGAGGCACTCCCTCCGCGGCAGACATATCGTCTCCGCAACGGCCGCTCATTTCGGCATCTACGCCGACCATAGTGCCTACGGTCGGGAACTGTTGGATCACGTGTCGTGACTATCTGCGCTATCGGCATCCCCTGGCACTGCGCCATTGTCCCGAGCCGTTCGGGGATGCCTGATCGCGTGATCCAACAGATTCCGACCGCTGATCGGACTCCGCGGACGAGTCCGTCTACGCCAGGGGCTACGCCGCGGGCGACAACGATGGCTACGCCGAGGGCTGCATCGCGGGCTTCCACTACTACTGGGGCTACTACGAGGGCTACCACTTTGGCCTCGTTTTCGCCAGCGGCGTGGCCGAGGACTACGAGGATGACTACTGCGCTGGCGGCGGTGACTTCGAGGCCGACGACGAGTACGGCAAGGGCGAGGGCTCCGCGCACGAGCACGACACGGGCGAGTCCGACGACGACGGTGACTTCGCCGAGTACTACCCCCAGGTGGGCCTCGCGTTCACGGAAGAGGAGCAGTATGAGCAGACCTGTCGCAAGCAGGAGCTGCTTAATTCATGCGGTCGAGAACTGTTGGATAACGCGTCGTGACCCCGTTGGCGCCCGTCTCGGACGGGCGCGACGTGCTGACGCCATCCTTGGTCCAACGTCCTTGTCTCCTTGTCCTGAGCCGTTCAGAGGCCGCGCGACGGGCTATCCTGGGGCCCCGGGCGATGCGTTATCCAAAAGATCTCGACCGCTGAGCGCAGTCGGGCGACGACGAGTGCGTTTACGTGGACAGCTCGGACAGCGACTTCGGCTTCGACGAGAACGAGAACCAGGCGGCGGGCGACGCCTGCAGCGACTGGAGCTGGGACTTCGGCGTCGACGGCGTCGACGAGGACGAGGGCGAGGCCGAGGAGGACGACTGGAGCTGGGACTTCGACGCCTACATCAACGAGGTCGAAGCCGAGCAGGCCACCGAGCTGCCCGAGAAGAAGATCGAGAATATGCTCGAGAAGAAGAGGGTGAGGGCGAGCCTGAGCCCGCCGTCGGCGCGCCCGCTCAAGAGGCGGCTTGCGAGCAGCCGGGGCGGCGCGTGAGACTTAAGATCTCACGCCTGTTTGTAATTTAGCCATAGTGGCTTCAAGGAGGAGGAGGGAAGGGGAGGATCGACCAGGAGGATAGGGAGGAAAGGGAGGGATATGGGGTCTGTCATGATTTGGCGATACCGCCGCTGCCAATTAACATCATCCCTGCCAGCCACGACGTTGCGGGGTGCGCCGCGCTGGTCTGACTGACACTCGACTCTGGCACGTCTCAGAGCAGAAGGTGCCTGCTCTCTCCCTCAGCCCCTGGAGCCGTCTTAGAGTCCTTGAGTTCCGAGGGGTTGGCGTTATTTTTGTTTGTATAGACGCGCGTAGGATATTTCGAACGTTCGGTTCGGATAGCTGTTGTTCGCCGTTCGCACGGGGAGATGAGATTCGGTCCGCCACATCGTCAGCATCAGCATCGCCACCTATCGTCGATCGTCACCTCATCATCGTCATGTCATCGCCGTCATCGCCATCGCATCGCCATCGCCGACATAGCGTTATCGCCATCGCCGTCATCGCCATCGTCGTCGATCGATCGACCGCCGTCTGGCCCGCCAAGGGCGCGCCACAGGCGCCGCCATCCGAAGAGGGAGACGCGGCAGCAGCGACGGCGGGGAGGGGATGAGGGGGATGGGAGGGGGGGGGAAGGGAGAGCTGGACACATGTGCGCACTGTATATGCACAAACCCCCGATCAACCGCAGAGCGGCTGCCACTCGTATAACGCCAGAGCAGCGCTGATATCTCGTATAACGCCGCCGCCGCCCTCTTCACTCTCTTCATTCTCTTCACCCTCTTCGAAGAGAGTGAAGAGAGTGAAGGAGGCGCAGAAGGTGAAGGAGGTCAAGAGGATGGAGGATGGAGGAGCCGATGCCGCCGCAGCCCGAAAAGAGAAAGAGGGCCAAGCGGAGCGCGAAGACGGTGAAGAAAATAATCGTCTCCCTGGGGGGGGCTAAGATGAGCGAAACTAAGCGAAGATAATCGTGCTTCGCGGGTGGATGCCTCGGCGCGAAGATAGCCGCACGTTCGTCGTCGCCCGTTGTTGCCGAGCGTAGCCGTTTGTGACAAGCCAAGCTCGCACACTATGGACATTTTTCAACGATTGTACCTCTTCCTGTGTCCTGGCGCTGCTCGCGGGCCTGGCGAGTCCGTGGATATCCCTGTCGCGCGCCTCGGGGAGATCTCGACCGCGTTCGGGGACGTCGTGGATCCGCGCAGGGCCCGCATGGTGGCTGGCCGGGCGACGCGAGCATGCCGCCGCGGCACGGCCCAAGCGGGGGTGGCGTCTGCTCGCGGGCCCGAGTGGGTGCGGGCCGAGGCCGTGGGGGTCCTGCTGCGCGAGTTTGGGGTGCTCATCCCGGAGGCCCAGTGGACGGCGGCCATGCGTCGGGTGCGCGAGCACGCCGTGGAGTTCGAGGCCCCGGCGACGGCGGCCGCGCCGATGCCCCTCCCGCCGCCCGTCGACGTCGACGCGTTGACGATCGTGCCGGCGGCGATCGAGCCATCGGCTGAGGCGCCTGACCTCCTCCTCCTCCTCCTCCTCCTCCTCCTCCTCCCTCCTCCCTCTTACCTCCTCCTCCTCCTCCCCTTACCTCTTCATCCTCCTCTCTCCTCCTCCTCCTCCTCCTCCTCCTCCTCCTCCCCCTCCTCGGCCCCTCCTCCTCCTCCTCCCACCCTCCTCGGCGATCGAACCGGCGCCGATGGACCTGGACATCGTGGAGCTCGGGCGCCATTACCTCGCCACCATGAGTCGAGAGCAGATGGCGGCCGCCCTCGTGAAGAAGGACCGCCGCGGGTTGGGGGCATGAGGAGGAAGGACGAGGATGATGGATTGCGACGAGGGCGGAGGGGGATGAGGGAGGAGGGGGGGGATGAGGGATATGACGAGGGAAGATGAGGAGGAGGCGGAGGCGGAGGAGGATGAGGAGGATGATAAGGATGAGGAGGGTGTGGAGCAGAGGAGGAGGTCGGATGAGGATTGGAGGAGCACGAGGGCAAGGAGGACTAAGCGGGGGGGCCGCCGCAGCGGCCAGGACGTGATCATCGACGGCCTCAAGCGGAAGGTGAGGAAGGAGCAGCAGACAGTGAGGCGCAAGACTGCGCGCATCGAGGAGATCAAGGCGGTTCCGCAGATCCGAAGCCGTCGTCGTCGTCGCGTCGCCCTCCTCCTCCTCCTCGGAGTCGCGCCGCCGTCGTCGTCGCACCGACGTCGTCGTCGCTCGTCGCCGCCGCCTTTTTTGCCGTGTCCGTCGTCGTCGGTCGTCGTCGGAAACGGGTCACCGTCGTCGTCGTCGTCGTATCGCGTCGCGCCGTATCGCGTCGTCTCTCGGCCCCCCCCTCGTCGCCGCGGCTGGACGCGGCTCAGCCCAAGAATGGTCGGGGCCGTATATCCGCCCATCTCCGCTTCGCCGCCGCTCTGAGGCGGCCATCGTCCCCGTCGAGGCGGACGCTCAGTTGGCGCTGCTCACGCCAGACCGCGGGGAGAAGCGGCGGTTCAACGCCAGGACTGGCATTGCCCTTGCGATCCGGAGGTGCCTCGGCAACGTGGCCGGGCGCAACATGTGCGGGGTCATCCTCGACGACGTGTCCCGCCCGACCGTGCGCCGCTGGGAGCACAGGAGCAATGGCGCCATGGTGACATCTAGCTTGTGGTACCACCAGGACCCGAGGGTGAACCCCTCCCGCCCCCCTCGCGGCCGCCCTGGACGATGCCGAACAAGCCGCGTGCCAGGCCAGCTTGCTTTCACGCGTGATGTAGCGCGCGTGGAAGAGAGCTGGAATGGCGCGAGGTTGCCCGCCCTCGCCCAAGGCGATTCGGCCCTCAGCCAGGAGCACAACCCGTGGTGGATCTTCCCGGGGCCCACCACTGCCGGCGGGAGTGGCGAGAGCCAGGGCAGCTCGAGCTCCGTCTCCGGGCTCAGCGTGTGCACCCTCGGCAGCATCGGCCTCGGCAGCTTGGGCCGTGCCTCGTCCGCGTCTTCCCTGTCTGCTGCCTCCTCTCTCGGGGACTCGATGCCCCGCGCCATGCGCGACGACGACGGGCCAAGGACAGCCTTACATGATCCCCTCCTCCTGTGCTCCTCTGCCTCCTTCTTCGGACCGCGCCGACCGCGCCCACCTCGCCTTTAACCTCCACTCGCACTAGACTCGGACCCAATGCCACTCACTCACTACTCTCGCTCTTTCCCTCTCGCTTATCGTCGCTCATCGTCGTCGTCGTTGTCGTCGTCGTCGCCGTCGCTTCGCTTATCTCGGGGGTGGACAGAACCCCCAACAGTGACGCGTCGATTAGTGAAGTGAGTGTCCGTTTTCGGTTTTCGAGAGGGCGCCGTGTCCGTTAGTTTCCAGGCTTGCGCCCGCCAGGTTTGGGCCTCAGATCGTTTTCACTAAACCGCGTTTTGCTATAGGGGGGTCTGTCCATTTCCGATTATCTCCCTTGTGGCTTCACAGAGGAATGGGTTCGCAATGTTCGCCGTGTGCGGCGACGCCACCAACGCCGCCATCATGGGGGGGTGCAAGGTGCACAACTTATTCGTTGAGTCCGTGTACAAGTGCTGGGATGATGATGTGTCCGATGATGACTACGCGTGGAGGAGGGATTTCGCTGACTTGCAGATTGTCGTTGATGGCACTGGCCCGGGGACAGTCGACATGATCCAGAAGCAGATGCGCAGCACAGGAGCCCCCGACTGGTCCATGGTCATGAAAGAGATCGACACGGACCCCAAGAGCACGAGGACGTTCTATTACTTCTTGACATCTGATCAGGGCTCAGACGAGGCCAAGGCTAAGAAGATCATTCAATACCAGGTGCTTGAGTACGATCGAATTCAAGTGTGGTCTTTTGATTGTTTTATGCACAGCCCTCACTTGATGGTGAAATCGGGCCTGTCCATATGCGACGCAATCCTGACGCAATCGGGCCGCACATACAAATATTTCGGGAGCCTCGCGAAGATCGTCAACGTCTGGCGAGATCTCGGGAAGGACCGCTCCTCTCCTCTCCTCTCCACCTCTCCACCTCTTCTCCTCTCCTCCTCTCTCCTCCTTCCTCCCTGCTCCCTCCTCCGCTCCATCCCTCCATCCATCCCTCCCTCCCGTCCCTGCCCGTCCATCCATCCATCCCTCTCGTTCCCCCTCTCTCCTTCTCGTCTCTCTCCCCTCCCTGGCAGGACATGTTCCTGGCGTGGAAGTCTGCTGTCAGCGGCCCTGACGCGCAGAAGTACGCGAGGCGCTTGCCGCCGAGGTGTCTATCGGGCCGATGGGGTTCTGTGTACGGCTCAGAGACCACAATCCTACCTCCGCTCCTTAATGGCCAGCTGCTCCAGGCGCTGACGAAGGCATTGGGGAAGAAGACTGCGGCGGCGGACGACGCTGGCGATGCCGCCCTCCGTGAAGAGCCCCGACTTGAGGAGGTGGCTTCGTTCAGAGCCCGGCTCGGCAGGTGGAGGAACGATGCGCTGGAGGTGGCGGCGGACCCCTTCTTCGGCGCCCTCGGCGCCGTCGCCCATAAGCTGCATGAGCCAGTGCATGAGTTCATATTCTGGATCGCGAAGGCGGTCCCCGGCGAGGTGATGCGCGAGCAGGGGGGCCACGTGACCCAGTTAGCGACAGGGGTGGCGCTCAAATTCGCTGTGAAGTTTGACGAGCTTGCCCGCGACATCACGTGGCTCCAGGATATTGCGGACAGGATGCCCGAGGCCGACGCAATGCACTTGTTCAAGGGCGGGCTTCTTCTTATGTTTCATTACGCGTCTGCGTTTTTCAGGCGCGTCGTCCTGCCGGTGTCCAGATACCCGATGAAGATGTTCCTCCTTGTCTACTCCGAGGCCGACGTGGTTTGCGACGTCCGCGCGCAGGTCGCCTGGGAGATGATTAATAGTGACGAAGCTGGCTTGGAGATAAATACTGCGAAGACTGTCCGACAGCACCGTGCGGCGTTGGTTCACGCGGCGAACACTGGGAAGCTGGGGCGCGAGTTGTTCTGCGCGCTGCGCTTGGCCGGCCGCATCATCAAGGCTGACGTTCAGTTCAACGAGGGCATCAACAGCCTACTTAAGGTTGAGATGAATAAGGCACCCTCCATGACCATGGAGCTGCTGGATGCTCGGGCACGCCTAAAGTTCACTTTGGGGTATCTGGACTTGGGCATGAAGTGGCACCAGCGTAAAAAGACGGCCGCGCTATTGGCGGGCTCGCTGACTCGACACGCCACGATCGCCAACGACGTGTGCTCTGCCAGCGCCGTTCGCTACGCCCCGCCAGTGAAGACGTGCGTCCCTCCTTCGGCCAAAGACATGACTGAGGGCATGGCCAAGATCAACCCTTACGCGACGCTGACCCCAGCATCGTTATTTGCCGCGCCCTACGCGCTGAAAGTGCACGCAGAGTGTAAGCAACCGACTGTTGATATAGCCTTCGGCTTCGGGATCGACGACGACTTGTGCATCCCGTGCGACAAGCATCGCTACACCGCGTGGACGGTGGTTGGCGAGAAGTTCCGCCCTCGCGAGGGGCCGCCGGACATGATGCGAATTATCCTTCCGATGCAGTCCGAGTTGATGGCCGACGTCATTGCTGACAAATATTGCTACTTCGACGGCGGGCCCGAGCATATTGATGGCCTGGAGCTCCCGCTGTGGAAATACCCCTTGACGTGGGTCAAAGATTCCCCCGTGCCCCTTGCTCGTGTCGGAGAGCCCGAGCGCGTGGTGTCACTGGTGAAGCCCAAGCCCAAGAAGAAGCCGGGCGACGCCGCGTTCGGGGCCGCTGCGGCTGCAGCAGTGGCTGGAGGCGTTGGCGGCGCGGACGCCGCTGCTGGGGACGGCGCCGCCGTCGGCGACCCGGGCGCCGTGGAGGGCGCGCGGAAGTTCGACCAGGACAGGGCAATATCCATGGGTCCATGGGCCCATGGAGGGAGGGTCCAAGGGCCCGAGGGGCCCTAGGGGTTCGGGGGTTCGAGTCGAGGGGCGAGGCAGATCCCGAGGGCCCGATGGTCCTTGAGCCCAGGGCGTCTGGCCACCTCGCCCCCCTCCATCTTTGAAGGAGGAGGGGAGGCGGATGAGGCGGAGCTCGGAGGAGCTCGGAGGAGGAGGAATGATGGCGGTGAGGGTGATGAAGGGAGGCGCACCAGGGGGTGCGATCCCCCCCTGGCCTCTCGCTCGCCCAACAGGACGTATTGGACGCGCTTGCGGCGGCGCTCACGATCGGCGGCGGCGACGAGGGGGGAGCCGAAGCGGCCGTGGCTGCAGCGGTAGCCGCCTTGGATGGCGACGGCGGCGGTTTGGATGAGGCCATGCTTGACTCGGAGGGCATGCGGAAACTTGCAGAGGCTGTTGGCCGTCGCGATGCCGAGATTGATGGCTCCGATAGCGAGGACGACATCTTCGGCGCTGCTGGGGCACATCATGAGATGCAAAAGGCGAAGAAGGGGGCGGAGTTCAAGAACTTCCACGCCGATCCAGACGCGTTGGCCAAGAAGGCGCTGGAGATGTCAGGCGTCGCGGTCAACATCGAGGAAGTGCGAGACGAGCTCGCCCTGGATACTCTGCTGGGGCCGGAGACCCCAGGGCCCCCGCCGCCTCCGTCGGATCCGCCAGAGCCTGATCCAGCTGATGGTGATGATTCCAACCCAGCGTGGCACGCCATTTGGTCGACTGGGTTACTGGACTGCATTGCGATCCTGCACGACCGGGAGGACGCGATGTCCATCCCTCTTGGCAACAATGGCTTCCTATCGTTGGTCCAGACGCGGGGCAACCCAGATACCCTCATGTATGTTCACTGGCAGGACGCTGGCGCCAGATGGGGGCGGGAGGCAGTGGTCGACGACGACGACGAGGACGTCAAGAGGATCAAGTACTCCGTGACTCTGACGAAGCTTCGCTCATTCGCGAATGCCGTAATCATTCACCCAGCGATCGGGATCTCGATGGCCAAAGTTCCCAAATGCATCAACCACGTGAAGGTCAGGCCGGTGATCCCACCTGATATTGTGAAGCTGGAGGATATGTGGTCGGCCGCAATATCACGGACAGTCTCGATTGATAAGTCCTGTGTGCTTTGTGAGTCTGGCGAGGGCGATGAGATTGTCGCATGCCCTCTATGCATGTGCACGTGGCACGGTGCTTGCGCCCGCGCGGCAGCAGGCTGTGCGCTCGGCCAGGGGGGGCCAGACACAACATTGGCTGCGCGCGCGGCCGTGGCTGACTTGGCAGTTGGATTTGTTCCCATGGAGTTCTTTGTGTCAGCCGCAGGGGCCTGTGCACTCTGCGTGCAGTGGTACCGCGGACCACGGGGTCCAAGGTGATGCGTTCTGGTAGCACGTTGCCACGCCGCCTTCTCCTGCTCCCCCTCCCCGCCCTGTCCACTCCCTTCTCCTCCTCCTCCTCTTCCCCCTCCTACTCCTCCTACTCCCCCCCTCACTCCTCCTCCTCACTCCTCCGCCTCCTTCTCCTCCTCCTCCTCCTCCTCAGGACTCATCCTCCTCCTTCTCATCTCTCCCCCATCGTCCGCCCCTCCTCCAGCTGAGCGGCCCGCCTACGTCGCCTCGCGGTTGTCCAGCCCGCACGCGCCACCTCCCGCCGCGGCGCGCAGGCGGGGGGATCCCGGGGATGGCGAGAGATACAGATAGCGCATGCGCCCAGGGGACGGGCAAACATTCTAACAATTTGCAGTCTCCTATCGTCGGGGGGGTGTCTGTTTGTTGGCCTGACAGCCTGAGAGCCCCCCCCCCCCTCCTCCTGGACGTCGCGACGTCGCCTCGGCTGGGCGCAGCGCGAGGAACTTGAGCGATGATCATCATCATATCATCATCATGGCATCCTGGCACCCTTGTCACCAACGCGTTAGCGAGAAGAGGAGGACTCGGAGGATGAGGAGGCGGAGGAGGTGGGCGAGGAGGAGGAGGAGGAGGAGGGAGTGGACGAGTGGGGAGGACGAAGCCCCATCCCAGCCCAAGGCACTCCCGTCCCCCAAGGCTGTTCGCTGCCGCCACGCCGGCGGACCAGGGGGTTCGTGCGGCGACGTCGCATTGCAGGGGGATGGCATGGCATGTGATTCAGCAGCATCATCAGCACCAGCGTCAACATCTGCTTCAGCGTCACTACCAACAACATCATCGTCATCAACACCACCATTGCCACCCTCACGATCCTCATCATCAACGTCGCCCACTGGTATCCTCATCACCCTCATCATCACCACCACCATCATCACCATGATCGTCATCACCACATACATCATCATCGTCATCATCCTCGCAAACATTCTCACATCATCATCATCAACAGCAACGCCAAACACGACACCAACATCATCATCACCATCACCATCACCATCATCATCATCATCATCATCATCATCATCAACAACATATCATCACGTCACGAGTTCCCTCGTGGCAGACCCCCCCCCGCCACGAGCCTCCTCGCGACGGACCTCCCCCTTCGTCACGAGCCCCCCATCGTGACGAAACCCTCCCGTCACGCGCCCCCTCGCGACGGACGCCCCTCCCCCCCCGTCACGTGCCATGCCCCACTTCTTGGGCGAGGGCGGGGGTCATGGTGGCCCGACCGCGGCCTCCCATTCTTATCTCGTCGCCGTCTGGAGGGCCCGCCATGTGGGCACTGGCTCAGGGTGCGAGATGGGCCCACACCTGGGGCAGTCCAGGGGCCGTCCAGGCGTCCGCCCTCAGGGTTGGGTACACCTGGGGTGTCCTGGCTGTCGTCCTGGCGTCGCCCTTTTAAGGCCCGGTGGGACGGACCCCAGGGCAGTTTTCAGTGTGCATGCCCCGCATCTGGGGCGAGGCGCGCCGCCGTCCTGGCGCTATTTGCACCTGGGGCGGCTGTCCTCGTCGGCCGCGTGTGGGTGGTCGTTTTTTTTTGTGTGTTCTGTCCTCGAGTTTCGTTTCTTTTGCCCCTGGCCAATGTTAGGTCTCCTGGGAAGGAGGTCACCGCGAGCATGCCGCGTGGGCCTGGCACGGGGGCTCGTCGCCCTGACAGTTGCCTTGCTCAGCCTCTTTGTCTGTCATAGTCCTGGCGTTCGTTCGCCAGGTCGAGGGCTTGCTCGTTTGTGTGCGCTGCGCGTGGGCTGCGTGCACGTGTGTCAGGCACCCCATTTTGTGGGGGAAGGCGCGATGCACGCGCGATGGCTCCCTGCGTTTTCTTGAGGGAGGAGGTTGTCGCCCTGACCCCTCCCCATCTGTTTCCCCGTTCTGGGGCGGGGGCTCACCTGGGGCACGGCCAGTGGCCCTCGGGGGCCACTGGTGACAGCTGCGCAGGCAAAGCCAGTGGCAGATGTCCCACTCTCCTCCTCCTCCGCCTCCTCCTCCGCCTCCTCCTCCTCCTCCTCCTCCTCATCCTCCTCCGTCCCATCCTCCTCCTCCTCCTCCTTTTTCCTCCTCCTGTTCCTCCTCCTCCTCCTCCTCCTCCTCCTCCTCCTCCTCCTCATCATCATCATCATCATCGTCAGCATCATCATCATCATCCTGCTGCTCCTCCTCCTCCTCCTCCTCCTCCTCCTCTCCTCCTCCTCCTCCTCTCCTCGCTCCTCCTCCTCTCCTTCCCTCCTCATGTTCCTCTACTTCCTCCTCCTCCTCCTCCTCCTCCTCCTCCTCCTCTTTTTCCCTCCTCCTCCTCACTCCTCCTCTCCACTTCCGACTCCTCATCCTCATCCTCCTCCTCCTCCTTTCCTCCTCTCCTCCTCCTCCCACTCCCGCTCCTCCTCCCACTCCTCCTCCTCCCTCCTTCTTCCCCCCCCCCCCCCCTTCCGCTCAGCGCGGAGGAGGCAGCCTCCTTGGGCGCAACGCCGCTCAGGGTGGCGCTGTTTTACGCCAACGAGCGTCCTCTGAGGGTTTCGCCAGCCCTCAGTTGTATCGTGGCTGCTTTGTGGATGTTAAAAACAGTCACGAGGGCCCTCGTGTCGGACCCCCATCCGCCACGAGCTCCCTCGTGCACGGACGCCCCGCCCGTCACGAGCCCCCACGTGAACTCTCCCCCCGTCAGCGCGCCCCCTCGTGACGGCCCCCCCCCCCCCCCCCCTCCCCCGCCACGTGCCCCCTCGTGACGGGCCCATCTCGTCATGAAGCCCCCTCGTGACGGACCACCTCCCGTACGAGCCCCTCGTGACGGACCCCGCGCCCTCACGACCCCATCCCTGACCGCCCCTCGTGGCGCGCCCCCTTTCCGCACGGGTCCGGTGCGAGCGAGCCAATAACGCCCACCCCCCCGTCACGAGCCACTTGTGACTGCCCCCCCACGTCCGCCCCCCCACCCACCCCCCCCCCCACCCACCCCCCCCCCACCCTCCCCCCCCCCCCCCCCCCCCCCCCCCCCCCCCCCCCCCCCCCCCAACCCACCCCACCCAGCCCCACTGCACCCAGCCCACGGCCCCTGTCAGGGGCCCCCTCGGGAAGGACACCAGACCCGGCACGAGCCCCTCGTGACGGGCCCCCGCCCGTCGGAGCCCTCGTGACGGCCCCACCCGTCACGAGCCCCCTCTTGACAGACCCCCGACGTCCCGTCCACGAGCCCCCTCGCGACGCACCCCCCCCCCCCCTCCCATTATCCTCCCCACCCCTGTCCACGGCCCCCTCGTGACGGACCCCTCCCGTCACGAGCCCCCCAGTGAAGGACCCCCTCCCGTCGCGAAGGCCCCTCGTGACGAACCTCCCCGGCACGAGCCCCTCGTGACGGATTCCCCCTCCGTCGCGAGCCCCCTCATTGACAGATCCCCTCCCCCCCTTCACATCCCCCTCTGTGACGGGGCACCCTCCCGTCGCGAGCCCCCTCTGACGGACGCCACTCACCCTCTCCGTCGCGCGCCCCCTCGTGACGGACCGCGCCCTCCGTCACGAGCCCCCCTCGTGAACATACCGCCCCCACCCCGTCACGAGCCCCCTCGTGACAGATCCCTCCCCCGTCATCATCACCATCATCAGCAGCAGCAGCGCCACCATCATAATCTTCAGACTCAGCATGACCAGCATCATCATCATCATCGTCACCATCACCATCATCATCATCGTCATCATCATCATCACCATCATCATCATCATCATCGCCAGCATCGCCATCATCATCATCACCATCACACCATCACCACCGTCTTCGTCATACACATTCGTCAGCATCATCATCGCGGGCCATTCGATATACATGTGTATTTAGTACCGCATGGCCTGTACGGGTCCCGCCGTATATCGCAGCTACCCCCCAACGCTATAATCATTACCCATTGTGTAACCGTGTATTCGGATCAAGATTAGTTGTGGCACGCGCATTGCCTCTACGTTCTGGTCAGCCGATATCCGTGCACGATGGGTACTCCGACGCGCCGGTTGCGAGGCAAGACGCATTCTGACCCAGAGATCCACCTCTCCCAAGATGAGGTGAAATCTGAGCTGGAGACAATGCCGAAAGATGTGCACGTCATACTCATGCGAGCCGATGTGGTGGACTTGCTTTTAGCTCACACCGCGTGCAGTGAGCACATCAGCGTTTCCTCTTTGGTCCCGTGGGCTAAGCAAGGCGTCAACCGAGTCGGTAAACCAGTTATATTGGCCCGCCCTGACCCGAACGCAAGTTTCTCTGTTTTCCACATCTTCGCCATATCGGAGTGGCACGGTGATGGTCCGCTTCCTGCACATACGGGTAGCTCTACTGTGCTGCCGACTCTGTTGCCTGGTGACGCGTGGCCTGATCCCCTTATCCTGTGGCGGTTTTCGAAGGTGCGTTTGACCAACACGAGCTCGCCGATCACAATGGCAAAGCAGGGCGGGTTCCGGGGGTTGAACCTGGCCAAGTACGGCATGCATGCCGCGTCCTTCAACCGCTCGCTGCTCAAATTCGGCCAGCCTGTTATCGCATTCCCGCCTCGGCCGCCGAGTGGCGCGGTCTCCGGGATGCCAACGCCCCATGCTTTCACCCTCGCGCTTTCTCCACCCCCTCCTCCTAATACCCTAATACCCCCCTACTATCTTCAGAATGAGGGGTTGCCGAACGGTCCTACTTCGCCCATGCGTGTGCGTTGGCCTTGTGGGGGCCGGTCTCCGCGAGACCGTGCGAGGGGGCCATGCGGGGGGAGCGTGCGGGGGGGCATGCGAGGGGGCCATGTGACCATGCGGGTGGGGCAGATGAGGGGGCCATACGAGGGGATCATGCGAGAAGTATGTTTCTCCGCTCGTCGTCGTCGCCCCCTCCTCCTTCCCTCCGCCCCGCCTTCTCCTCCTCCATCCTCTCTCAGACTCCTCCTCCTGTGCCCACCTGCCCCCTCCTCCTCCTCCTCCTCCTCCTCCTCCTCCTCCTCCTTCCCCGCCCCTCGCCAGGTCGACGCGGCGGCCTCCGCGTCGACGTCGGCGTCGGCGGCCTCAGCCGCGACGCCGGAGCTGGAGCAGGCGCCGCAGGTGCCACCACCACCAACGCAGCTGGCACTGCGGACGGATGCTGCTGAGGATGAGGCGCCCCCGCCCCCGCGGGAGGAGCGCGCTGGATCAGGCGAGGCGGCGGCATCTGATGCGGCCCTTTCCGCCCTGCGGGATAGCAGGGGGGATCGACGCGAGAGAATCGAGGCCATGAAGCGGGAGAGTTCTGCCATGCATTCTGATGGCGATATCGGCCTTGGTCGGCGCCCCGGCGCCCCCCTCCGGAAGCGTACGCGGGTGGAGCCCGTCATTGAGGATGATGTTGCAGACGAAGAGTTGGAGACGTTGTGTGCGGCGGCTGGGAAGGTCAGCCCTCCTTCTGTGCTAGATGGATATGGTGGCGCGCCAGTGGATGAGGAGGCGGTGTCTGCAAGCTCGCCCAGCGACTCCGATATGGAACAGCTCCTCTCCCGAGCGGCGAGCACGGAGGCCGCAGTCATGCACGGCCTGGTCACTGGCCTGGCCGATCCGCCACCTCTTCCGCAGCACCCCCCCGGAGATTCGCCGTCGGCCGCGGCGGCCGCGACGGCTGGGGCCGCAGCCAGCGTGCCGCCCGCGTCAGCGCCTCAGCCGCAGCAGGCAGCAGTGACGGCGGCGGACCTCTACACTGTCAGGGAGCTGAAGGATGCGTACGACTGGGCCCGCTACAACATCCTGAGGATCGAAGAGGTCCACGGCAGAGCTCGCGTGCAGAAGATGGCAACAGCCCTCGAGACCGAGCGCCATGCCACTGCCTTCTCGGGCATTGACTCACCTGGAGTCGCCAGGGAGATGTTGCGGCAGGAGCTTGAGCGTCACCTTGGCACCAAGATCTGCAAGCCCGCCCACCACTGGGCAATCGAATGGGATGCTCACGCGCAACAAGAGCTTCTCTGCCATCCATGTCGGCCAAGATGCCTGTTCGCCGACATGAGCGACTTCTACGTTCCCGAGTTCAGGCGTGAGCTGGGCAGGATGAAGGACTCTGGTGAGATCATCGGCGTCAGGAAGCTTCTCCCAGCGATCAAGACTAGGAAGGCCGTCAAACCTTCGGCGTACTGCTGTATTCATGATAAAGAGTGCTCCGTGACAAGGGTGGACGTCATGTGGGCAGGCCCACCATGCGTCGGCTTCTCCCCTGTCGGGCTCGGGCGTGGCGAGGAGGACGATTCCATAGAACACTTCATGGCTTGGGTGGGACTTTGCCTGCTTCTCCTCGTACCGACTATCATTCACGAGAACGTGAAGCAGTGCATGCTTGACCTCCTCCAAGCCTGCTTCAATGAGCACTACGCAATCTCCGAGCAAGAGCTGTCCCCCATCCAGTTCGGGGTTCCCGCGAGGCGGACTCGCATGTTTCGAGTCATGACGTTGACAAAGGCCGCGGTGTTCACTGTGCTACCGGTGTCTACGATCACCAGGCTGTTCCACAGAGACCGCCAATGCACGTTCTCCATTTGGTTTTGGGCTACAGATGCGGACCTCGCCGACCTGGTGGAGTTCGCCGCTGACAGGGCGAGGAAGAACCATTGGGATGTCCCTCCTGGGAAACTTACCGTCTCGGACCTGAGGGGCCTCCTGTCGCCGTTCGAGCGCGAGAACCTCGGCCGTTACGAGCGCAATCACGGCACCAACGCAGTGTTCCAGCTCAACCAGGACTGCGACGACTTCACGTCCATGAGCAGCGAGGGTAACTTGTGCACGGTCACCAAGCACTGTGGGATGATGTGGTTCAGGGACAGAGTCATGACGGCAAAGGAGGTGCTCGCCGCCTTAGGTTTCCCCGTCACTACTGCTAGCTTCGATGACATCGCCGCGGGCCGGGCGAGCCCGTCGACGAGTTTCCACGCCAGCTGCCCCGATAGGAGCTACGCGCAGACATTCTGCCAAGCGGGGAATGCTATGCACGTGAACGTGGTAGGCGCGATCGAATGTTGGCGCCTGGCTTTCGTGAACACAGTGAGCGAGAGTTTGGCCGCGCGCGTGGTCGCAGCGGCGGTCGGCCAGGTCACGCGCGCTCGGTCCGAGCCAGCGTGATCGAGACGCCGCGGGAGCGTTGTCGCCCCGCCCGGCCGCGCAGCACTGGGCAGCACTTACCGCCGAGCGTGCCCTGCAGCTCTGGCGAGGCCGCGCCCCTAGACTGTGGCGCTGTGGCCGGCGCGAGCTGCGATAACTCCTCTGATCGCCCCCGTCCTCTCGCCCGCCCCTCCCCCCCTCCCTCCCTCAGCCTCATCGTCGTCCCAGGCGGCATTGCGGCATCGGGCCTTCTGGGCCTTCTGCGCCGCCCAGCGTCCAGTAGCGCCAGGCGCGGCCCCCGCCTCGACCTTGGGCGGCCCCCATCCGTCTCTGCCTCTCCCCCCCCGGGCCCCGGGGGCTCGCACCCCCCCCGTCGACGACGACGGCGACTGCGACGACGGCAACGGCGGCGACGACGGAAGGCGGCGGAGGAGGAGGAGGACGAGGAGAGGAGGAGGAGGAGACGGAGGAGGAGGAGGAGGAGGAGGAGAGGAGGAGGGAGGCGGCGGAGGAGGAGGAGTAGAGCACTAGAGCACTCCCACACCTCCTCCCTCCCCGGCTAGCTAGGTCAGGTGGGGCCCACGTGAGGTTCAGATTTTTGTGGAATCTCGCTGAGCTCGCTCTGTGCACAGATTTGGGTGGAGCCCGATCCGATCCGCTCCTCTCTGCCCCCCCTCCTCGAGGTCATCATCCTCCAGCCTCTCCAGCCTCTTCTCCTCCTTCCCCCCCGCTTGCTTCCTGCGTCGCTGCGTTGCTCCATCTTCGGGAAAGCCAAGGAATCGACCAGGCGAGGAGGGGGGGCTGGAGAGAAGGAGCATGGGCGTGCATTCGCTGTCCTTCCCATCCTCGAGCCCCCCTCCTTCCCTCACCTCTCCTCCCCATCCTTCCTATACACCCCGACCATCTTTGCGATGCTTTATGATTCGTTTGCGGTCGGGCCAATTGTATTTTAGATTTCCGCATGTCGGGCCCCCCGATAATTCAAGCACCCAACGGTTCCCACTAGGGTCCAGCGTAGTCGCGTAGTCCACCACGGCCCACTCTATGATTATACCGTGAGGCTCTCGCTCATGCACCCACGTTGTAGGTTGTAGGCCATCGATTTCCTCCGAGCGTTGATGTAGAACTGTGCTAGCCTTGCCCATCCCCCTGGGGCATAGAGTCTCGGCCGCCACCGATCCGACGCCTCTCGACTCGCCTCTCGACCCCATCTTTGATGATGTGATGTCTCGAGCCGGATCGATCCGCCGCGCGAGCTGGTTGTCTGGGCCTGTGAGCCTGTGACAGACTCGATTCGACCCCATCTGTGATGATGTGATGTCTCGAGCCGGATCGATCCGCCGTGAGCTGGATTTCTGGGCCCCGCATTCCCGGAGTTGCTAGCACTATTGGGTCAAGCCGTCAAGCCGCCCCCGCTCGCGCGAGTATTTCAGCAACAGAGGGGCCCTTCCTACTGGTCAATGGCAGCGCCTGCCAGCGCTGAGCCCGCTGCGTCGGCGGCGGCTGCGCTCGCCAGCATCGAAGAGGCCGAGGAGGCCCTCTACGGGCCGCGCGAGTCGATTCATGTGCGCTTCCCTGGGCTCACGGGCTGCCTGCTCCAGGAGAGTCATTGTCCTCCTCCTTTTCCTCCTCGCTCCTCCTCCTCCCTCCTCCTCCGCCCGCGCAGGAAGCTGTGTGGAAGGCGTACTCGATGCCGAGCGCTGATAGCCACGCCCCCTACTTCGACAAGGATGGCAACCCCATGATCGAGCCTCACCCCGCCAACCGGGAGACCCAAGAGCAGACCGTGGAAAAAAAACACCGTCAGCATCGAGACGCGGGGTTACGTGAGTGGTGTTCGCGGCCACCCGTGGGCAGTGAAGGTCGATGCCGCTCCTGGATCGGCGCCATTCAAGATGCTGAGCTGGGGCCACCTCACAGCGGCAGTGTATCGCGCTAGTAAGCGCAACAAGCCAGGCACCAACAAATTTGTGGACCACACGATCAAGCGCGGGGTAACGGGCCTCACCATCTTCAAACAGAAGACTCCGATCGACGTGTTGACGTGGATCGTCGATCTGTCGAACGATTTCCACAACCAAGGCTCTGGCATGACCTGCGTCCAGATGATGGACAAGTGCGCCGCCGCGGAGGACGGCTGGGAGGCTCACAGGAAGCAGTGCAAGATCAAAGCCCGCCAGCCCAAGAAGGGGAAGGGTAAGGGCGAGGAGGAGTGCGGTCAGCGTGATCTGCCCATTCAGAAATCAGGTGAGAAGCCAGTTTCGAACACGGCCCAGTATTACAAGGAATACAAGAACTGGATCACCGAGAACTACCCGAGGCTGCTCGGGCCGGACGGGGACTCCTGGAGCTCGTTCGCGCATCTGAAGGCCCTCGTCAACTCGATGCGCAAGAAGCCGTGCGACGTCTTCGAGCAGGTGAAGAAGGACCTCAACCTGAACTGCGAGTTCCTCGACGCCAGGTTCAACCAATGGAATGCGATCGCCGCCATGCATGCCTACGTGACGTCGGTCGAGTCGGCGTGCGCTGGCATCGGAATCGAGCCTGAGATCAGGGCCGCGCTGATTACAGAAGGGATCAAGTTCTGCACTCCTTACAAGCCCACGTCGTCAGGCCCAATGGACCCCAGCTGTAGGTTCGCGCCCTTCGTGTTCCCCAAGGGAGTCGACAACGACAGGATGGAGGTCATCAAGACAGCGATGGAGGGCAGCGCGGTTTACAAGCCTGTGAAGAAACCGAAGAAAGCCGCCCAGGCCAAGCCAGCGGCGAATCCGAAGAGAGCGGCAGGCGGCAAGCGCGGCAGGGAGTGCGCTATGGCGGTGGAGGCCATGCAGTTGCAGCTTGTGCCCGACGCTCACTTCCAGGACCTGGATGACGATGAGGCGGTTCCAGAGCCTCGCCAGAAACTCTGGATCGACGACCTGGTTGCGGCGATAGAGCACTCCTTCAGCCAGTTCAGACGGGCCTCCAAGACGAACAAGCGCAAGACCGCCGAGTTTGTCGTCTCCCACGCCCTGGAGTTTGCCTGGATGGAATCAGTTACGCTCAATGGCAAGGAACACACGAAGTGGTCCGAGCTTCGCTTGGAGCTCAAGCGGGTCATGTATCTGGCCCTGAAGCGGGAGGAAGATTCGCTGGCGGATGCTGTGATGGGCGGTGCGGGCGTGCAGGGGGCCTACGACTCAGCCACGGCCTTGCTAAGCATCGCTGAGAGCCTCCCTCAACAGGCGGTGCCAGGCGATGCTGCGATCGACGCCTTGACAGCCGATGTGACGAAGTACCTGAATGACTACGAGGGCATTGCATTGAGGGATTACCTGTCAGCCAACAAGCCTTCGAGGCCAGTGAAGATGCACAGGATTACTGCTGACATGATGGAGTCTGCTTGGGGCTACATTGAGGCTGCGAAAATTGAGTACGGCAAGAAGCTCCTTCGTGACCAAGGTGTAGATATGAATGCCGCGAAACCTTCGGACTCCGTTGACTTGGCTGACATCCTGAAAAGTGTCTACGATGCAGTGGACGCCAATTTCCCAGCCGAGTGGACTAAGAACGTGCTCAAGCTCTGCACGATTTCAACGCAGACGCAGTCTCTGCCGGACGAGGCCAAGCATACCTTCGGCTGCTTCGACGACTTGAGCAAGTGGATGCGCCTCCGGACCCACTACGCGGCCCACCTCCTCGAGAATCTCGTTCCCGACGCGGTCAGCGTGGAGGGCATGCCGTCCGCCACGTTCTGCGAGGCGGTCGAGGCCATTGTCGCCAATGCGGACAAGATGGCGACCGTCGACCCCCTGCTGGACCAGTCGCACATTTGGGCGCGCGCTTGGGCCATCGCGATCAGGAAGGTCGTCATCCTCCTCCACAATTATTCAATATGAATACTACTTTCCCTCTCCCCCCGATGGCGGCCTGAAAGTATTAGACCCCCCCCGCTTTTTGTTTTTTACACACAGGATTCCCGGGAGTTGGGTTTTCGCCTGCGTGTTTTGTCAAAAGGCTGCCCTCGCTGAGGCGGCGGCCTCATTTCTGCTCCCGAATCGTTCCGAATCGTGCTCCCGCTGCAGCGTGGGCCTCATTTTCGGATCGGTGTTCGGCCTCCGTCGTTCAGTCGTTCAGGATGGCGTTCTCGCCCCAGCGTGGGCCTCTTTCTCGCGCGCCCATCCGCCCGCCACCACCGCGCCGCACCACCGCCACCACCACCACCACCACCACCACCACCACAACCACCAGAAGCAGCACCGCCACCACCACCAACACCACCACCACCACCACCACCACAACCACGCACACACGCACGCACGCACGCACGCGCACCACCACCCACTACGCACGCGCGCGCGGAGCCACATGTCCGCTACGACACGCGTCCGCGGATAGAGAAAATCAGCGCCATGGTGAGGGATGGGGGGGAGGGGTAGGACGTCAGATATGACGCGAGCGCACCTAGCTTGTCCCCTCTCCCCCCCGCCTCCTCCTTCTCCTCTTCTCCTCCTCATCCTCCTCCTCGATCCTCCTCCTCTACCCCCCCCATCCTTCGCGTCTCCTCTGCAGGTCTGTTCCGACGGGGCGTGGAGCGATGCTGTGATGGAGGATGTCATGGTGCAGTGCAACCTGGGCCCCGCCTCGAGCCCGCTCGTCGCTGCTGAGCGGGTGCCTTATCCTTCTCTCCTTCTCCTTCTCGTGTCTTTACGTTTGCGGGCCACCTACGGGGAGTGGGGGGTATCTGACATGCGGTCGTCTGGCCCCCCCAGCTTTGGGGCCTGAAAGAGCCAGACACAATCGGTATGTATATCGACGCCAGGTATATAATACCTGGACGCAGTTTCTCCCGCTGGTAATTTTTCAGAGTTCTCCTGCTCCCTCCCACCCTCTTCCCCGCTCCTCCCCTCCTCCCCTCCTCTCCTCCCTCTCACCTTCTGATCCCTCTCCTGTTTCCTCCTCCTCCTCCTCCTCCTCCTCCTCCTCACCCCTCCTCTTCTCGCCTCGCCTTCCCTCCCTCCCTCCCCCCCTCTCCCTCTCCCCTCCTCCTCCTTCCTCCTTCCTCCTCCTCCTCCCCCTCACCTTCCCGGGCTCCTCTGACCCCCCAGGCCGAGGCCGCGGCCGCCGAGGCGAAGCGGAAGGCCGAGGTGGCCAAGGCCGAGGAGGACAGGGCGGCGCCGGCAGCGGCGCAGGCGGGAGGCGCGCCGAGCGGCGGGCCTGGGAGCGGCAGCGACGTGCTCGTCGCCGTCGAAGCCCCCGCCGCGCTTCCGCTCCCTCCGCTCGCGTGCGGAGCCGAGGTCCAGTGGAAGCTGGCGCAGATCACCGCGTCCATTTCGGACCGCGCCCGCCTCCCCCCCTCCCCTTTCCTCCTGCTCGTCCCCCTCTCCCTCTCCTGCTCCTTAGTCTACCGCTCTTACCGTCCGCCTCCTTGGGCTCCTCCTCTCCCCCTCGGCGGCCCCTCGGCCCCTGGCTTCTCCTCGGCCTCTCCTCTCCTCTCGCAACCCTATGTCTCTATGTCTCGTCCTCCTCCTCGGCTCCTCCGTCCTCCTTCCCCCCTCGCCCGTCCCGAGGATGCGAAGGTCACGTCCGAGTGCGGTGAAGAGCTGGATGTCCGCCAGCTCGTGGCTGATTCCAAGTTCCACGTCAACAGCACGTCGCTCAAGGTGCTCGCCTTGAAGGCCCAGGCGGCCCTCTTCGAGGCGGTGATCGAGTCTGAGGCTACTGCCAGCACGAAAGATCTGATCGCCCTCGTGAGGAGGACTGATGACGGCAAGAAGGTATCGGTTTCATCGGTGGTGGCGCCGCAGCTGCTCACCAATCTCAAGCTCTACTTCGCTGGCGCCATCACCTTCACCGAGACAGTTGGGGCCCACCGCGTCGGCAACATCGCGGGCATCCCGATCTATGTTCACGGGGGTCTCAACTGTCATTTGGCCTCGGAATGCTTCGTGCCCGCCTGGAGCGTGAAACAAGTCGCCAAGCCAGAAGATGCCACGCTCCAGCTTGCGCACGAGGACGCCGATATCATCTGCCCGCCGAAGCTCCTGAAGCAGCCTCTGGCGGCCGGCGCTGAGCCACCGAAGATTCGCATCCGAGTGCCAGTGCTGGTCCCCAAGCCTGGCTTCGTCGGCATGACTGACGTGCAGTTGAAATACTACGTGGCGAAGGCCGGCGGGGAGGCCGACGGCGGCAAGGGCAGCGGGAAGGGCAAGAAGCGCAAGCGCGCGGATGACTCCAGTGACCCGTGCACGTTTTTCGGTGGATGCGCTGCGCTCGCACTGAGCGGCGCGAGTCCGTCTTCAGGTGGCCTGGGCGGCGGCGGGAAGGGCCGTGCGAGAGTCGCGCACCTGCTCAAGTAGGCGCGCTTGCTTGCTCGCCAGGCTCGGCCCCGCCTCCCCGCCGCAGGTCGCCATGCATGGGTGCATGGGTCTCTGCTCTGCTGGCGAGGGGCGGGAGGGGTGAGAGGAGAGGTGCGTAGAGCAACGGGGGAGTAGAGGGGGCGGTCCTCGCGCACATTCAAACCTTCCGATGTTTCAGTTTCGAGTTTCGAGGCGCTGGGGCTAGTGCTGCCGGCTAGTGCTAGTGCTGGCTGATCTCTGCCTCGCGACCATGTGGGCAAGGTCTCTTTTGGCAGAGTGCATGCCCCCCCCCACGCGCCTCTGCATGCTGGAGCCCCCGCCCCTTAGAGCCCCGTGGAGGGACATGGGGGGGGGGCGATGTCGTGGAGCTCGCGCATGGCGCAGAGCCATACGGCCATATGGCCATGTGAACGAATTTGAGTAGATAGGTGAAGCGTGAAATTCCCCCATCCTCTCTCCTCCCTCCCGTCATCCATCTCGTCGTCGTCGGTCGTCCTTCCCCACGGCCCTAGGGCAGCCGCGAGGGTGCGACGGGGGCGGCGCGAAAGCGCGAAAGCGCGAAGATCGCGCTTCGCGGAACGCGGAGCGCGAATATGGTTGCCCTAGTTGCCGTCGTCGCCGCCCGTCGCCGCTGCCGCCGATCCCTCTCGTCGGCGGCACTCTCGGCGTGTCTTCGTCGTTCGTTCGTGATTCGTCATCGTCGTCGGCGGCGGTCGTCGTCGCTGGTCGTCGTCGTCGTCGTCGGTCGTCGTCGTCGGTCGCCGCCGCCGCCGCCGTCGCCGCCGCCGTCGTCGTCGGTCGTCGTCGTCGTCGTCGCCGTCGTCGTCGTCGTCGTCGTCGTCGTCGTCGTCGTCTTGTCGGCGTCACCGCCGCTTTCCGAGGGTCCGAGCGTTTCCTTCGGGTGGAGGGCAAAGGCTGACATCTGAAATGCCGTTTCGACGGGTTTTGAGGCTTGGATCTGCAAAAGGTGAACCACAAGACGGATTGATTGTCGAGGTGAAGCCGCTAAGCCCATATGGATTTCACCCTGAGCCCTCCACCTTAAGAGAATGCTCAAGCTTTCGCCGCCGCCGCGCCGTCGCCGCCGTCGCTGCTGCCGCCGCTTGGCAGCACCCTCGGCGCGCCGGCGGCGGGCCGGCGGCGGCGGGCCCGCGTCGTTGTCGTCGTCGGGCGGAGGAGGAAGGGAGGAGGAGGAGGAGGAGGAGGAGGAGGAGGAGGATCAGGGGGGTCGATGGGGGACCTTCCAATGAATCAGCATGTCGGGGGTCGTCTCAGAATATCGACCGATCCGATATGTGGCATCCATGGGAGGATTATTATTCATATCAGAGTGCGCATATTTGTATTTGTGGGGGCAGCATTATTCATATCCAACCACGCGTGTTTATATTTATTTCGATATGATTATATGGTGGTCGCTATATGAATAATGATCGCATGGAATATGAATAAGGTTGGCGCGCTACGCCTGGCGAGGCTCCCTGTCACGAGGCCGCGGGCCCGACCTCGTGACAGGGGCCTTCGTCACGAGGGCGCGCGGCGTCACCCTCGTGACGAAAAGCTTCACGTTTGCAATGGGAACGTGCCACCCCAATCGAAGGCGCTGGGATACGAGTAAGCTCGGGTGCGGAAGGGGCTCGCTGTTCCTTAGGTCCTTGCATCTCATGTTTGCTACGCTGGCGCTCCTCGTGCACCAAGGCTGTTTGTGGGCCAGAGAAGGGGGCGTTGTTCCGTATCTGGCATTCCTTATGGCAGTAGCTTGACTGCATCGGGCCAGGGTCATTTACACGGAAAGAGGCACAGACCATGCCACCAGGCGGAAGGGAGGAGCAGGAGCAGGAGCAGGAGCGAGAGCAGCGGGAAGTTGACCATCACGCAGCAGAAAGAGGCATCGGCCCCGGCACCAGGAAAGATAAGGAGGTGCAGGAGCAGGGGCAGGAGAAGGAGCGAGAGGGGCGAGAGGAGCGGGCAGTCGACCCACTCGGCCAGGATCACCCAGCAGAGAAAGGGGCACTGGGCAGGACAGCCGAAGGGAGAATGGAGGTGCAGCAGCAGGAGCGGGAGCGGGACGAGCGGCAGGGGGCGGCCGCCAGCAGCGGAAGCAGGGCCGGGAGAGGGGGGGCTGGAGGATACAGGGTTGCCGCTACTCCACCAGGAGGAGGAGCAGGAGGAGGAGGAGGAGGAGGAGGAGGAGGAGGAGGAGGAGGAGGTACCACTTTGGAGACGAGCCCCATCCTGGGAGGCGCTGCCTGACCAGGATTCCGAGGCGCAGCTGGCCACGGCGACGAGGGAAGGGCAGCGGCAGGGGTGCCTCCGCCTCCTCCGAGGGAGGCGGGGGCAGATCGCAGGCGATGTTTCTCCTCCAGCCCTTGAGCTGCGCCCGGAAAGTTTAACAAGGGGGGGACCCTGGGATACACCCCAAAGGGGGCCATCCGAATGCACCCCTATCGAGGAGGGACGCCCCTCCTCGTATACCCCAGGGTTGCAAGGGCCCTAAATTTCTGGTCCATTCAGAAGCTCCACGAAGCCTAGAATAGGGGTCGACACATCCCCTGTGCGAGTGAAGGCGAAGGAAAGGGGGGGCGGCCAGGTGAGAGCGAAGAGGGGAGGATCCGATCCTCACTCCCTGGCGAGGCCCCCTTCAAACCGCTGATGCCGTCCTCGGACTTCCTCCCGTTCAACGACGAAGCGGCTCTGTCAGCGATCTCGGGCCCGGGCAGGTGGCCGGCGAGCGAGGTTCAGCCAAAGAGAGGGGAGGACGAAGAGGGGGAGGGAGCGGGGAGATGGCGCAGAAGAAGGAAGACGAGGGTGGGCAGGGGACATGTGGGGAGGATATTGAGGAGCAGGAGAACCAGGAGATGGGGGAGAGGAGGACAAGCAGAGGATGGAGGAGGAGGAGGGGAGAGAAAGAGGGGGATGAGAAGGAGGAGGAGGAGGAGGAGGAGGCTGTGCGTCCGTTGGCTGTCATTCCGTTATGTTGTCATTCCGTTAGGTCGTAGCAAGGAGGAGGACAAGGACGAGGAGGAGGAGGAGGAGGAGGAGGAGGAGGAGGAGTAGTAGGAGGAGCAGGAGGGGGAGGAGAGCAGGAGCAGGAGGAGCAGGAGGCAGGAGGGGGAGGAGAGAAAGAGAGAGAGAGAGAGAGAGAGTAGGAGGAGGAGGAGGAGGAGGAGGAGAGGAGGAGAGGAGGAGCAGGGGAGGAGGAGGCTGTGATTCGATTAGCTGGGATTTCGTTAAGCTGTAATAGCAACGAGGTGGAGGAGGAGGAGGGGAGGAGCAGGAGGAGCAGGAGGCAGGAGGGGGAGAGAGAGAGAGAGAGAGAGAATAGGAGGAGGAGGATGAGGAGGAGGAGAAGGAGGAGGACCAGGGGAGGAGGAGGCTGTGATTCGATTAGGCTTGGATTTCGTTAAGCTGTAATAGCAAGGAGGTGGAGGAGAGGAGGAGGAGGAGGAGGAGCAGCAGGAGGAGGAGGAGGAGGAGGAGGAGGACGAGGAGGAGGAGGAGGAGGAGGAGGAGAAGGAGGAGGAGGAGGAGGAGGAGGAGAAGGAGTGGAAGGGGGAGTGGGATCTGAGGAGGAAAGGGATGTGGAGGGAGGAGGAACGGGATTAGGAGGCAGACAGGGGTGGGAAAGCAGGAGGATCGAAAGGAAAAGGAGAAGGATGAGGAAGATGAGGGAGGAGGACGACGACGACGTCGAGGAGCAAGAGAAAAGAAGGAGGAGCGAGGAACTGGACCGAAGAGGAGGAGGAGGAGGAGGAGGAGGAGGAGGAGGAGGAGGAGGAGAAGCAGCAGCAGGGGGAGCAGCAGCAGGAGCAGCAGCAGGAGGAGCGGGAGAGGAAGATCAAGAGGCGGACTAGGACGAGATGCAACAGCAATCTACCGAGCGCGAAAGAGGAGGGGAGGAGAAAGAGCAGGAGGAGAGACGAGGAATATTGTGAGGAATGATGGCGGAGGAGGAGCATGAGAAGGAAGGAGGGACGATGGGAAGGGGGCTGGAAGCGGATGAAGAACAGCAGGAGGAATGTAGCCACGATAGTGAGGGGGTCGGGGGGAGAGGAAGGCAGTGGGGGAGGATAAGTGGGATAATGGTGAGGAAGAGGGGAGAGAAGAAGGGCAACCACCAGGGTGATAACGATGATGAGAGACCAGCAGCGAGAGTGATAATGACGAGGAGGATGAGGAGGAGGGAGGAAGGAAGAGGGAAAAAGTAGGGGGAGACGGAAGGATGACAGGAGGAGGAGGAGGCAGAGGAGGAGGAGGAGGAGGAGGAGGAGGAGGAGGAGGAATGCGTAGTTGGAGGAGGAGCTGGCGGAGGAGAGAGGCTAGCAGGAATGATGGCTGAGGGATGCGGAGCAGGAGGGGGCGAAGGACGAGCGAGGGGGAGTGAGAGCTGGGGCGGGGCGGGGCCGTTCTCGTCTCGCCGGGCCGTCCTCGCGGGCCTGGCGCCGTCGACGAGACCGTCTGCTGCGTCTTCGCGGAGCCCATGCAGGGCGAAGGCGCCGCCGGGCCGGGGCGGCCAGCCTAGGAGGGCCAGGGGGTGGAGGGGGTGGATGGGACGAGCGAGGAGAGAGGAGGAGGGGCGAGCGAGGAGAGAAGAGGAAGAGGAGGTTGAAGGAGGAGGGGGAGGAGGAGGAGGAGGAGGAGTAGGAGGAGGACGACGAAGCGGAGGAGGAAGAGGGGGGAGGAGGAGGAGGAGGAGGAGGAGGAGGAGGAGGAGGAGGAGGAGGAGGAGGAGGAGGAGGAGGAGGGGGAGGAGGAGGATGAGGAGGAGGAGGAGGAGGAGGAGGCTCGAGGAGGAGGAGGAAGTTTTAAAACGAATGTGCGCCGCGCTTAGGCGAGAGCCACATTTTGAAAACGACCCGCCCTCAATCCGTGAAACGCTTGCATGTGTTAAACGAATATGCGCCGCGCTAGCGCGAAAGCCACATTCTGGAAACCACCCGCCCTCAATCCGTGAAACGCCTGGATTTTTTACAACGAATGTGCGAGGCGCTAAGGCGAGAGCCACATGTTCAAAACCACCCGCCCTCAATCCGTGAAACTTCTGCATTTTCTTGAACGACTGTTCGCCGCGCTAAAAGTGAGAGCCACAGTTTGAAAACCACCCGCCCTTCATCTGTGAAACTGTTGCATCTATTTAAGGCCTCAGAGTCATAAGTGGTGAGGAAGTCTCAGGCGAAACGCCCGGCCCGTCCTAAAAACATGCCTCGGGGTGCGACAGGGAAAAGTTATGTATAAGGAAAGGGAATGGAGGAGGAGGAGAAGGAGGAGGAGGAGGAGGGAAGAGGTGCAGAAAGAGCAGGAAGAGAGAGGAGGCGAAAATGGAGGATGCAGGAGGAGGAGGAGGAGGAGGAGGAGGAGGAGGAGGAGGAGGGAGAAGGAGGAGGGAGGGGGAAGGAGCAGGAGGAGGAGGAGGAGGCACCGCGCGCTCGAGCGGGCCCCGCCTCCCAGGGAGGCCAGCCAGCGCGCGCGGGGCCCACGCGCGCCGCCATTGCCGCGAGGGGGGCCTTCCGTGCCTCCCTGCACCCCTCGCGGCCGGCGGCCGCGCCTGCGGCGCCAGCCGCCAGCAGGGACCACGCCCCGTGAGGGCGAAGGGGCCCGGCACCGCCGCGCCAGAGAACAGCGCACAGCTGCGCGGGTGCTCCTGAGAGTGGCGTCAGCAGGCCGAGCATTGGACAATCATCATTCAGCTCAGAGTCATATGGATGCAGATGACGGTGAGAGCAACCCATTCCAGAAGTGCAGCTCCTGCGGCTGCGCCAAGAACCTCTCATGGTGGAAGTGGTACAAGCACTGCCGCTCGCCGCTTCGTCCCGCTGTACCGCCCAGGAGGACAGCCGCGCGTCGGGAGCGCAGCCGCGAGCCTCTTCGGGCTCGCTCTCCTGCGACTGACATTGCTGGATGGAGGCCGTGGCACACAGCAGCAGCACCCCGGCGTCGAGCCCCCTCAGTTACCTTCTCTGATGGATCTGCACCTGGGCCGCACGACGGTTTCGAAGAAGATGACGAACCCACAGAGGAGCAGCGACTGGTGGCCCTCACAGACTTGCTGGCCAAGCCGGGAGATGATGAAGGGGCAGCCAAGCACCAAGCCCAGCTCGAGGCCCTCCGCCGTGCAGATGCTGAAGCGAACATATCGGCCGGACAAGCAATGCAGAAGGCCAAGCAGACGGAGGCGAACCTCAAGCGCACCTTGGAGAGGTTTGAACGCATCAAGAAACAAGACAATGAGCTCCAGGCCGATGTGGCCACTGCATCCACGGAAGTGGACGTCGCGAGGAGCCTCTACCAGACTGCAGTCAAACGGCTTGCCAGCACGGTCTCGGTGGAACCAGATCAGCAGCAGTCCGACTGTGAGCCCCGACAGCCAGTCATCGACCTCAGCGCTCTGTTGGAAGGACAGGAGGTGCAGCTTGACGACGGCGAGCTCTTCGGACTGGAAGAACTGGACGACGTCATCTCCCCCGAGGAGAGAGCCGAGGCCCAGCGGCGCAAAGATGAGCTGCAGAAGCAGTTAACAGAGGCCGCCCAGGCGTGCTTCAGCGATGTCAAGGCCAAGGCAGCGCTCATCAAGGAGGAGCAGGCCAAACAGCTAGCCCGCCTCAAGGCCAAGCGGGGACGCGCGGAGCCCGACAGCAAGGCAGCCGATGCAGCCACCAGCGGTGCCACCAGCCCAGCCGGGCCCAAGGGACCTTTGCCCACGGCAGCAGCCGAGGCCCCGACGCCTGGCCAGCCGACGGCGACGGCCAAGACACCGCCCACGGCGCCTCCGCCCGAGCCGCCTGCTGCTTCCTCCAGCGCAGCAGGCGGGTCCCCCCCCCCCTCGGTGGTCGCCGAGGCTAGAGCCAAGCCCGAGGCAACGCAGACGACACCGCAGCGTGGGTAACAGCTGGTGGCGGCCCGCGACAAACCTCCACAGTACCAGTGCAGAGGCACCGCAGCAAGCAGTTTTTGGCGTGTCTCCGTCGAGTGCACTTCCTGCTCACAGTGGCGCATGCCAGCAGCAACAGTGGCATGATGGGATTGGCCACTGCAATTTTGAACCAGAAGATTGTCAGACATGTCAACACTACCATCAGTCTCGGGTGACTATGGGAACTATGACGAGATGCTGACTACCAACTACGAAGGCCTTAGTGCAGGGTACGACGTCCTGAGCGACGGTAACATCAGCGACATCGTTGACGACGGCGCCTACAGCGAGGGTTTCCACGGGTGGGGCGATTTCCACCGCGGCGGCGGGTATCACAGCAATGGGGACAATTGCTGCGAGTCGAACTCAGATGACATCAACTGCTTCTACGGCGACGGGAGGAACACATATTGCATCTGCTGCATCCAAGATGACATGCAGACCTCGGTAGAGGTGTCAGCGGAGCATTACGTGCAGGACAGCGGCAACTGGCAGTCCGTGGTGCGTGGCTCTGGGGGTTACCATCAGTCAATTGGGGTTAGAACGCGCGTGGGCGATGTCAGAACGCCTGGCGTTAGAGCAAATCCAGGAGGTGGCTGCCCTGGTTCATGTCGCCCGCGACTGCACGGATGGAAACGGCGCGACGCGAGGTGGTAATGAAGGGGCGAGGATAGGTCCTGGACGTCGAGTCCTAGGCCGCCTCGGTCGGGCCAGGCCCGACACGTTGCTGCTGAGCGGAGCGCCGTGGCATTTAGAACGCAAGTCCCGTTGTCGTGTTCGAGCTCATGCAACCGCGTTGCGGATTCGCCTCCAAGACCTGGACTTAGCCACCCAGACATCATGTCGCCACATGTTTGCCACGCGTCGGTCAGCAACTACGACCAGCACCTCTCCACAGAAGATGAGGACGACCTGTTCGACATGGGAGCGAAGCCTTCGAGGCCCGCGGACCTGCATCACGAAGCACGGCTTCTCCTGCCCCTGCGCGGGTTGGCGGCCAACTGGATGGTACCTGGGCCCCCCGACCGCGAAGAAGACATGGCCGCGCTGTCTTGGATGGTTTTGTGCGCACCCTATGTACAGCGTCGGCTAGCGGAGCCCCAGTTTGTGCGGCTGGTCGAACAGGCAGCAGAGTCGTGCTCGCATGGGGGTCAACTGCAGGCCCGCGCGACCATGGTCAGGAGCTACTGCAGTCGAGCATTCCGTGACCGCACCAGGGCTCGATGCCGATGCGCCAAGTGGTTCGCGGAGCTAGCCAGGCAGGCACGCCCCGCGGACATCGGCGAGGAGCTTGTCCAACACGTCGAGTAACGCGTGTGCGGTGCGATGGCTACGAGGCCACACACTCCATGCTGCAACTCGGTGCTCGGGGGCGACATCCAAGGCGTCGAGACCTGCTAGTGCCAGCATGCCCGCTACGAGGGGGAGCTCGACATCGCCTCCGACACGCGCGGCCCCGCCAGCGGCCGCCCCCTCCGCCGCTGAGCAGAGCTGGCTCGGCGAAGGGGGCCCTCTTTCCTCCCCAGGACGCCGCAGCGCCTCCAACACGGACTGGCGTTTCATCACTGTCAACCCCAACACTTGGAGCAGTTTCCAAGATGTTTGCGAGCGGCAGGCGGCCATGGGGGCCTCCAAGTTCCACTTTTGGGAAGTCCAGGGTACGCGGCTGGAGACGCTCGGCATTGACAAGGCCTCTAAGTGGGCCCTTCAGAGAGGATATCGGACCTCTTTCTCGAATGCCAACAGGACGGGCGAGCATGACCTGTCCACGCCTGGGGGGACGATGGCTAGGGTCGCCAGTCACGTTAGGTCGAGAGAGGTCCCCCACGGTGATATGGGGCTCCGTCAGTCAGCTGCTGGGCGAATCTCGGCCATGTTGATTGACGCCATCGTGCCTCCGGGGGCCCCCTGGGTCACCATCTACGGACGCGTGGGCATCGGCTGCACTGGGGCCAACGCGGAGCTCCTCCAAGACCTAGCTGTGTACCTCCAGGGGCCCCGTAAGCCTTGGATTCTAGGTGGAGGCTTCCACATCCCGTCTAACGACCTGGGGCTCTTGAGGTGGAGCCAGATGCTAGGTGCAACCATTGCCGCTCCTGCATGCGCCACTTGTTCGGCGGGGTCGGGGGCAAGCAGATGCCTCGAGTTCTTTGTGGTCTCGCGCGGCGCGGCCAATTGCATCGCAGATCTGTCCGCCCTGCCCGCGGCGCCGCGTGGGCCGCACACGCTCGTGCAGATCGCCATCCGTGGTTTCAGCCCCAGGATCCCAGTCGCTATCAGGACTACGTGGGAAGCGTTTCCGACGAGGCCCCGGGCGGGCCCACTGCGTGAACCGATCGACCACCAGTGGTCATGGACGGCCGGGCAAGTTCCTCAGGACAAGAACCTCCAGGATCTATGGGCAGAATGGCTGAAGCGAATGGAAGACGAATTGCGTCAGCAGTTGGATCTATTCGAACGGCTGGACGTATCTTTTTCGAGGTCGGGCGCAAGGATTCTAGAATAACCAAGTACAATTACAAGCGCTCATAGAGCGCAAGTGGGACGAGGGTACCTCCCCGAAGTCTAGAACTTGGCGTTCCCTGCAGACTCTGATGCTCAATTTTGGAGCACTCTGGAGGCATCCTGAGGCCCCGCTCTTCTGGAACCCCATGACCAGCTACCTCGCCACCCTCGCTCAGACAGACAACCAGATCCTTGGGCCCGACCTGCAGACGGTAGGAGGCAAGGACTTCCTGCTCGCCGCGGCGTCCCAAGGCGGAGACGATTTAGTCATGGCCTTGAGTGGCGTCGACGCTGTTGCTGATCGGGCCCTAAAGGAGCAAGCCAAAGCCAGGTGGGCAAAGTGGGGGGCCTGGGCCAGGGGCGCCACCAGGGGTGGGGCCAAGGAGGCCCACAGGTACATCAAGAATGCGCCCCCAGTTCCACAGCCTCAGGACCCCGCTGGGTTGCCTCTCCAGGGGGGCGCCGCGATCCAGCACCTGTTGGGGGATTGGGCCTCATACTGGCACGATGCCAAGTCGAACATCGCCGACGCGCAGGTTGCAGCAGCGGCCCAGTCCCAGCTCCCCAGACCCACTTTAGACCAACTGAAGCAGGCCCTCAAGAGGTTCCGTCATGACGTTGGACTCGGAGCTGATGGAGTCAACCCTCGATGTTGGCTGCTCCTCGGGGACCCCTTCCTGTTGAGGCTGATAGACGTCCTCCTGGCTTGGGAGCAGCAGCCCGGCCTTCCCGACCTATGGCCGACAATCACCGTGTTTAGTGGCAAGCCCGACGGGTCTGGGGTTCATTCGATAGCCTTGATTCTATAGGCTTACGCCACATCCGCCGACCCCTCATCCTGGCGGTCTTGCCGGCTCGCTTGAATCGGGCTGGGGAGTCGTGTAGGGGTCCATAATGACCTCTCTTGGGGCTATGTGGAATCCGCTTGGGGTCATCTCGAGGCCCCGGGGGGCCCATCGGAAAAGAAAGGACGCTAATGCAATCTTGGCATCGTTCTGGAGATGCCCAAAGGATGGAAGCGTTGGATTGGGGCCCGTATATTTCTTGCTGGGGGCCGTTTTGAGGCCGTTTTGGGGCCTCTTGGGGGCCTCTTGGGGCCTCTTGTGGGCGTCTTGGGGGCCTCTTGGGGCCTCTTGGGGCCTTCTGGGGCCGTCTTGGGGCGGAAGGCTCGGATTGTCGGTTCGGGCCCCCCCTCTTGGGCACCTCTTGGGGCCGTCTTGGGCCCCTCTTGGGCTGTCTTTGGGGCCTCTTGGGCCGTCTTGGCGCCCTCTTTGGCCGACTTGGGCGCCTCTCGGGGGCCTCTTGGGGCGGTCTCGGGGTGCTCTGGGACCGTCTTCAACGCCGTGAAGGCCGACAAGTAGTATATGATCTAAATGTACGGTTTCCCATAGGAATTTGACGATTTTCGGCGCTTCGGCCCTTCTGAGGACTGCTCTTGGAGGCCTCTTGGGCCGTCTTGGAGGCCTCTAGGCTCGTCTTGGGGCCATCTTGGGCGTCTGGGAGCGCTCGTTTGGCGCCTCGGAGCTCTCGCGAGCCGTCTTGGAGGAGTCTCGGGGCCTTCTTGGCCCGTCTTGATCCCCTTTTGGGCCCAAAAGAGCCCCGTGACGCGCTCGTCGCGGGCCCGGGGGGGGAGGGGGTCGAATCTCGGGGTTCATTCGATAGCCTTGATTTGCAGTCTGCTTCGGGCTTGGGCTCGACTTAGGCAAGATCTAGCTCGCACTTGGGAAAGGGAGCACCCTCTGGAGAGCTCCTGGGGCACCAAGGGCAAGACCTGTGAACAAGCAGGATGGGGGCACAACGTCCTGACCTACGTTTCGAGGCTGTCCAACCTGGAGGCGCTACGTTATTCACGGACCAATCGAAGTTCTACGAAAGGGTGGCCCACATAATCCTCATGCGTGAGGCAGTGGCCACCCAGATGCCCCTTCGGCTAGTGTATGCAGCGTCGAAGCTGTACGCAGGCACACGCGTCATAAGTTTCCAGACAGCGGTCAGCGACCTCTTCAGAGCGAACGGCACGATCTTGGCGGGCTGCACGCTCGCCACCAGTTTTGCCAACATGCTTCTTTACCAGCTCCTGCTAGAGATACATCAGCGCCATCCCCGCGTACCTTGCCGCAGCGTGGTGGATGATGTCCATGCCCAGTGCTGCGGGACCAACGCCATGATCTTGAAGATATTGTCAGGGGACAAATCGCACTTCCTGGCCTCTCACCCAGATCTGGCTTCGGACCTAGCCAAGACGTGGGCCCAGCAAGGGTTCAAGCGCAAGATGGGCACCAAGAGTCTGGGATCATATGTTGCATGTTCCAGGGCCAGGAGAATCAAACCAGTGGCAAGTCGACTTAGGAAAGGGACCAAGAGGAGCTGGCGCCTCAGGACACTTCGTCAAGCTGGAGGGCGCGTGCACAACATACAACGAGCAGGTCCGCAAGCTTGTGCGCTGTGGGGCGCGGCGGTCACGGGGCTCACCAGTAGGCAGACCCATGCAATCCGTGTTTCAGCTGTTCGATCGCTCCACAAGGACAAGTCGACGGCCTCTGTGGGGCTTAGCTTGTTTTCCTCGGCTGCAGGTCAACTCATCGACCCCCTGGCCGCGCGCCACCGCCAAGTCATCCTCTTTTGGGCCCAGGCGATTTGGAGGGGGCGGCCAAATTGGCCAACCTCCAGCAGGCCCTTGGCGGGGCCTTTGCCGGGTTTGAAGAGCACAGGTTTACGTGGGGATGGACTAGGTCCCCAGCTCATGTGTATATCATGTCGCTTCGCGAATTAGCTTGGCGCGCCCTCAATGCGCGCGCTATCGGCTTGGACGATAGGCGAGAGCTGGACTTGCTCGCCCTTGCGCCCGTGCAGGTCGGCATCCTGGTGCTGCGGCGCGTCGCCGCCTGCTCGGATGCATGCGCGCTGAGGGCGAGGTCTGCCACGGCGAACTGGGCCCGTCCCATCTGGTGGAAGCCCCTGCGTGATTTAATGAATTGAGCCACGCCGGCTGCTTGGGGACCCCACCAGCAAGAGGCCCTTCGCAGCGTGGCCTCCCAATGTCACTGGACCCAGGAGCGCCAGTTTGGGCAGTCGCATGTGTCGTCGCCGTTATGTCGGTTGCGCATTGCTGCTCCTGGGACGTTACTTCACAGAATATATACATGTGACGCTTGGAGGGCCCTACGACAGTCAAGTTGCAGTGCCGAGCTGTTGAGGGCGGCAGCTAATGCTGAGAGATGGGGGCAGTATTTAGAGAAGCTTGCCGCTGGGATCTTCCCTCTCGTCTCCGAGCTTGCCCGGCCCCCCTCCTCCATTCCCAAGCAGGCATTCACTGGATCAACAGGCCTCCCGAAGGCCAGTTGTCGGGCTTGGTTTTCACTGATGGGTCCGCCTCCAACCCGACAGACACGAACCTGGCCAGCGCGGGGTTGGGGATTGTCCAGGTTGACGAGGCTGGCAACTTTTTAGCTGGATGCTACGGTGCAGTCCCGCTTGAGCTGGCCCCTCTCCAAACTGCCCGCGACGGAGAGGACTGCGCTGTTTACATGGCCTCGGCTGGGGGATGCGTTCAGGCCTTCGGAACGATGTACCACATAGATTGCAAGGCCACCCTCGGCTGTCTGCTCGACCCTGGCCAGGCGCAGTCTTGTTCCAGCAGTCGGGCTCACTTGTGGGTCCGCATTTTCCATGCGTTTGATGATGACCCCCCCCCCGCGGTCAAGGTGAGGGCCCATGCTTCCTGGACAGACGTGGCAGCTGGAAGGACCACCCAGCTCCACAAACTAGGGTCTGACTATGTAGATAGGCTTGCAAGGCTGGGAGCTGCATGTCACCCAGACACCCAGCCAGCGATCCGTTTTGTGCGCGCCTTCTGCCCCATTGCTCAACAGGCTGGGTGCTGGGCTGGAGAACAAGAGGCCCGCGCAGCCGCCAGTCAGGTCCGCGACGCGGACGAGCTCCCTGGGAAGGATCGAACCGTGATGGCCCCTCTGTACAGACTGCGTTCGCTGAGAGTCTCTGGGGGTGGCCGCCCGTTCTTGGTCCCTGGGGAACCCGAGGGGCTCGCCAGGCTTGTTTCACTTGCGGGCCATACCATGTCCAGAGCTGGTGTTGATGGGCCTGATGGCCACCCACCCGTAGGCGGCAGCACAGTCCTCTTTTGCACCGCGCGTGGAGGATACAGTTGGGGAGGTCCCAAGGCACTGGGAGCGCTGTGCCCCCACCGCCCGCCCACCAAGGACAGAAAGCAGCAGCTGTCTCGGGCCACACGGGGGCTTTTCCCCTCGTGCCCCCCCCAGTGCAGGGGGTGGACCCTCAGATGGCCCCGTCCCGCCTCCCCCTGCGACCTCCAGGTCCTCGGCCTCTCCTCTGGGGCCTTCCTCCTCAGGTCTTGGGGTTGAGTGCGGGGAGGGGGGGGGGGTCGTCGCCGTCGGAGTCGTCGGACGGGGTGGGATGGGAACGGTGGAGCGCGGCCGACGCGGCCGCCCGCTTCGGGCTCGCGCCAGAGATGGCGGAGGCCGCCGCCGCCCCCCTGGAGAGAGAGACGAGGAGGAGCGCCAGGCGCGGCGCCCCCTTGCATGTGTGTGTAACTTGTATACGTGTGTGTGTATATATATATATATATAGATATATATGTGCTCTGGAGCTTTATCAGTGTCTTCATCGGACCGCAGCTCGCTCTGGTTCAAGCCTTTTATGGCGGAGCCAGGCGCTGCACGCCCCCACCTCGGCGCTGGGCCGATCGTCCTTGCGGCGGCGGCGGCAGGCGCTGGACGCTGGTCGCACTTCCTCGAGGGGGTCGACTGGCGCGACTGGTGGGCCCTCGCGCCCCAGCCGGGGCCCAAGGTCGGGCACGTGCTCGACTGCCCGGAGTGCCCGCCCTGCCAGAGCGTGGTCTCCATCGACGACGACTTCCTGGCCCGGATCCCCTGGGACTGGGCGGACCGGCTCATCTTCTTGCTGGCCGGGCTTGGGCTCGGCAAGGTGCGCCTGGGCTGTACGCGCAGCAGGCGGGCTTCGCGGCGGTCGGTCCCGCTGCACGATCACTACGACAACGAGGACTTCTTGCGCGCCGGGATCGGTCCCGGCGGCCGTGCGGGCGTCTCCACTCCGTCTACCCCGCCCTCGGCCAGCTCGGCTGTCTGGCGCCCTCGTCGGTCTCCTCCTCGGGCTCTTCCTGCTCCTGAGTGATGGCCAACGCAGCAGATCTCCGGGGGCTGGACATTGTGGAGCCCCAGATTGCAGCGTACTTTCCCGAGGACGCCAACGTGAATTGGCACACAAGGATCTTGCTCGAGAAGCTGAACGATCAGGGGCGGTGGGTGGTGGCAACACCCGATGGCGACATCCAGGTCATCGACTTGGCGCAGTATCGAGTCCTGCCGATCCCTCGGAATGCTCCGGCGCCAGTGCGGCTCCGCAACAATCACTACCACTTCGGGGATGTGAACGAGGAGACGCTGGCGGGATGGCATCGAGCGGCCCGACAGCTGGCTGCGGTGCTCGGCGGGGTGGCCGCGGTGGCTGCTGGCAACGTGGAGGCCAAGTGGTACTACTCCGACACCGCGGACGACGAGTTCGGGGAGGCCGTGGAGGACGCGGCGCTGGCGAACCCGGCCGGCTTCATCAACCGCGACGCGAAGGGGATGGTGGAGGTCCGCGACGCCGGTGGCGACCGACAGTGGCGCTTCGTGGAGCGGGTGACCCGCGCAGACTACGCGGAGTGGCTCAACGAGAAGCGGAATGGCCCCGGCCGGGATCCCCGCATCCTCCCTCTCGAGCGCGACGCCGCGGGCCGGAGGCACCTTCTGCTTCGGGACGCCATGGCGGTCATGACCCCGTTCAAGCCGAAGCCGCCGGACGACTGGCCGTTCCGCGGGCCCTCGGCGTGCGCCGAGCTGTTCGCTGCGATTCGGGGGTCGGGCCACGACATTGGATCGTACCACGACTTCTACCTCGCGAGCTCTGGCCTCTCGCCCGAGCATCCCGTGGCCCACAAGCACCGCGACCTCCTGATCGTCGTGCACCACCTTCTCTCCTACGACCAGGTGAATGGTCAGCAGAGTGCGGGCGCGGAGTCGGCTGCTCGGCTCGTCCGTCAGATACATGCTGCCGTGATGAGGAATGCGAAGGCGCCGGACTTCCGCGGCACGGGGGTGATGGTCCACAGCAGCTTGTCCACGGGCGGGGCCACGATGGTGGGCGACTTCGCGAAGTGGACCGCCGAGGAGCAGAAGACGGAGGCCTTCACCATGAAGCAACACCGCCTCTACGCAGAGGAGCTCGTCAACGCCTCGAAGGCCCCCCCGCCCAGGAAGTGCGACGGGGGGAAGTGATCATCGATCGGTCCTGGCAGGAGGAGGCCGCCCCGCCCCGCTGGTTGGGGTGCCTCCTGTCATGTCCGCGCTCAGTGGCCAGCACGACCCGGGCGTGGCTATTTTTCCTCTTCGTCTTCGGCATCGGAGCGAGGGGGACCGTCAGGGATTACCTCGGTATCTCCGCCGGCGGCTGGCTGCGCAAGATGAGCACGAGAATTTTGTGGCTGACGCCGTCTCGTCGCTCAACTCCCTGTACTCCACCGCTGGCTCTGGGTACTCGACCTACGAGTTCCCCAACCGCCACAAGTCCGGCGAGCCGGTCTCCGCCTTCAACGACGCGGTCCTCGGGAACGTCGGCCGTGCCGTCAGCGCCTTTTTCCCTCGGCCTGACGAACGACAGCTTTGTCCAGGAGGAGCCTTGCGCGAGCTCCTCAAGTGCAAGGATATTTACGACACGGACCAGGACACGACGGTGGCGCCTTTCGACCCGGAGAAGCTCCGCGTGCTCAAAGGTGACCTCCGCCCTCAACCCATGGAGCGCCTCGTCGGGCCGACCGCCCGGCGCAAACTCCTGGACCCTCAACGTCACATCTTTCGGCCACAAGCGGAGGTGGATGAGCTGCGCGATCTGCCTCGTGCTTATTGGGATCCTCGTCTTGTTGGCCCTCGGTCGGAGGTGGGAGTCCTCATGCGACAGTTGGAAAAGGCCGGGCTTATCACATGGCGTACTCGGATTCGGTCTCGTGTGGGAGCCTTCTTTGTCTGGAAGAAGAATGGGGCTATCCGACTCGTTCTCGACTGTCGAGCCACCAATGCCCGTCATCGTGACCCGCCGCGATCCTCCTTGGCTACGCCAGCGGCCCTGGGACATGTGCTGGTCGGCCCCGCCTGGGAGCTCGCCGACTCGGCCACCGCGCCGGACGAGAGGAGGGTCGACCCCTCCGATGTCCCGCACGCGGCCAGCATCGACCTCCTCGACGGCTACTACCAGTTCAGCAACGACAGCATGGCCTCGTGGTTCGCCCTCGGCTACCACGTCTCCGCGTCGGAGGTCGGCGTCACCGAGGAGCTCGACGAGCAGACCGGCGAGCTCGTCCCCGTGGCCGCCACGGCGCAGGTGGAGGCGTGCTTCCGCGGAATGCCGATGGGCTGGAGCTGGGCGCTCTACTTCTGCCACGATGCTCTCTCAGAGTGTGGCCGGAGGGCCCAGCTTTCTCTCGGCCTTCCCGCGGACGTGGTGGGAGATCGTCAGGAGGCGCCTGTCCTCCATCCTCATACCGCACGGGTTGCACCCTACGTCGACAACGGCAACGTGGTGGCGGGCTCCCGGCGGCAGTGCGAGGCCCTCCTCGACGCGCTCAAGCGGGAGCTGCAGGCCGTGGGGTTCGCAGTCCACGAGGAGGTCCGTCCGTGCCGCGAGATGGAGATCCTCGGCCGGGTCTGGGATGGTCGCCGTGGCGAGGTGCGCCCGCGGCCCGCCCGGGTCTGGCGGCTCTGGTACGCTTTGGACACGCTGCTGGGGCAGAAGCGGAAGCTCGCGCCGCAGATGGCCAGGCGCCTGGCGGGGCACCTCGTTGACTTGCTGGCGATTCGTCGCGAGTTCCTGTCCGCCCTGTGCCACCTGTACCGCTTCATCGGGGACGGGGCCGGGCCGCCGCGGGCCTTGCCGGGCCCCCTCCTGGTCGAGCTCCGCATTTTCAAGGGCCTGCTGCCGCTGGTCGTCCAGAACTTCTCCAAGCCCCCCTGTGGGCGTATGTATTGCAGTGACTCCTCGGGCTTCGGGTACGCGGCCCACGTGTCCGACGTCAGTCCCCAGGAGCTTCTCCCGGAGGTCGGCTGGCGAGAGCGTTGGCGATTTGTCGACCCGACGCCCGAGCCGACGCAGGACTTCCTTTTGGCGGCCCCGGCGGCGCCCGCTGCGGTCGCGCCGAACTTCATGGCCTGGTTCGAGTCCGAGGTCGGCGAGGCCGATCGCGGGCTCACCTACTCTCCCGAGAGGCCCCGAGGAGCCCCTCCGCTTTGGCCCGAGCGATCCCAGCAGGAGCGCGTCGGTCTGGCCCCTCGGCTTGCCGACGGGCTGGTGGAGCCCGGGCGCTGGATCCGTGTCCGACGCGGGGCTTGGCAGCGGCCGGCCGCCATCCGCAACAAAGAAGGCCGGGCCGCCGTGTACGGGCTCCTGCACGCCGCCAGTGACATCTCCAACTTCAACACCGTGGTGCTCGCGCTCGGGGACAACCTGGCCGAGGTCCTCGCCACCGACCGCGGCCGGGCCCGCGACCTCGAGCTGCTCGCGGTCTGCCGGCGGGCCGCAGCGATCCAAGGGGCCACGGGCATCCGATGGGCTCGGCGCTACGTCGAGACGGCCCGTAACCCGTCCGACGCCGACTCCCGCTGGAAGGACGACAAGCTGCAGCATGCCGGGCTGGCAGTGGCGACGCCCACGAAGCTGTCTGCCGCGGTGCCGCGGACGTGGACCGCGCTGGATCGGGAGCCGCCGCCGGAGCCGTGCGACGCGCGGCCGCGGCTGCGGCCACCGCCCGGGCTGCCGGCGCCTCAGCGCCGCCTGCCGCCGCGAGGAGCCCCGCGTGCCGAGGGGGGGGGATTCAGACTCCTGCCGTCACACCCCTCGGCCGTGCCTCCGCGGCGGCCCAGGGCGCTGGCGCCGGCCCGCCCGGGGCTCGGGCTCGGCCGCGCGCCGTCGCCCAGGCTCGTCCACGGCCTCAGCATCGCGGCGAGCGCCGACAACGGGATCGAGCTCGGGACGATCCACGACCCGATCGCCAACCTGGTCGCCGGCCTCCTGGGCGCCCTCCTGACGCTCTGCCTCTGGTGCAGCGGGCAGCGGAGGCGGGCCCGGCGGGCGTCTCGGTGCTCGAGCTGTTCGCGGGCTGCGCCTTCCTTTCGAGCGGGGTGCGGGCTGCCGGCATGCGCATCGGGGTCCCGTGCGAGCTCGACCACGGCTCCCACTTCGACCTCACGCGGCCCCGCGTTCAAGCCGAGGTCCTTCGCTGGCTGCGGGATGGGCGAGTCTGGCTGGTGTTCCTCGGGACCCCGTGCGGGCGCTGGTCTCAGGCGCGCAGCACCGGGCGGGCAGGGACAGAGGTCGACCGGGCGGGATACGCCTGCGCCCGCTTCACCGTCAGGGTGCTCCGACTCTGCCGCCAGCTGGGGATCTACGTGGCCGTGGAGAACCCGCAGCGGAGCGGGTTGTGGGACTGGCCGCCTCTGGCGGCCGAGCTGCGACGCAGCGGCTGCGCCCACGTCGACTTCGACATGTGCGCATTCGACACCGCCTGGAGGAAGCCTACCCGACTCGCCACCAACCTGCCCGGGGCCGACTCGCTCGAGCGCAGATGCCCCGGCCAACGACGACACGTCATCTTGGAGGGGAAAGTCGGTGGGGCATCTGGGCCCGCGAAGTGGCGCACCTCCTACGCGGGCGCGTGCCCGCCGAAGCTCTGCCGGGCATTCGCGAGGGTGGCTGCCGGGGCTGCTCCTGCTGGCGCGCGGCGCCGCCGCGGCGAGGGGCAGACCTCCGACTGGCGGGAGGACCAGCTGCTGGACGCCGCCGGGACCGCGGGCGCCGGTGCGCGGCACCGACGTGTGGCGCCCCCGCGGCTCCCTCGCGATGCCTCCCTCGGCTGGGAGGGGTGCACGCGGCGCTGGAGCGGGAGGCCGCTCGCAGAGGAGCTCCGCATCCTCGGCGAGATCCGCGCCTACAATCGCGCCCATGACCCGCAAGCGGCGGCGCGCCAGCGGCGTGGTCGACTCGCCCCCCGGCTTCCTGCGACGGGCCACGGTCTCGGCCAGGACCCGCGGCACCTACACCAAGGCCTTCGCGCTGGTGCAGCCGTTCGCGGCCGGGCGAGGCGCCTCCCCGCAGACCATGAAGGAGTGGGGCACCATCCTCCACGACTACCTTGAGATGGAGTTCTTGGAGGGGGCTTCGGCGGCCGTCGGACGCGTCGCGCTGTACGGCACGGCCTGGTCTCTCGACTTCGTCACCCGCGATCCGTCAGTGCTGCCCCTGTCGAAGAAGGCCCTGAAAGGTTTCGCCAGCATCCGGCCAGACACCATGCGCGACCCGCCGCCTCTGGAGGCGATCTGGTGCTTGGTGGGGCGGCTGCTGCTGGCCAACACCTTGGAGTGCGACCTCGCCTCGGCCTTCTGCCTCCTCGCCTTCGCCGCCTACCTCAGGCCCTCAGAAGCCCTGGAGTTGACAGCCGCGCAGGTGATCCCGCCGAAGCACGGCACGGCTAACCGGTCGTGGGCTCTCGTCGTGGCGCCGGAAGGGGGCAAGCCTGCCAAGAACAAGCAGTTCGACCAGGGGGTGAAGATCGGGGCCTTCGGCCGGTCGTTCGCGGTCGACGTGCTTCAGAAGTTGTCGCACCGCGCGCCGCCGAGCACGCTGCTGTTTCGCCACCTCACGCTCGGCAAGCTTGAGGCTATCTTCCGGAGGTACGGGGACGTCGACGGTGTCAAGATCACGCCACACTGCCTGCGCCACGCAGGCCCCTCGCACGACATGCACTACAACGACGCCTCGCTCGACTTCGTGATGATGCGAGGCCGGTGGTCAGTGGTCAACTCCGTGCGCAGGTACGGCAAGCCGGCCAAGCTCCTGCGCCAGTTGGCCAAGCTGGATCGCTCGACGGTCCTCGAGGCGCCGAGCCGGGCCGCCCGGCTCCCGGGAGAGGTGCACGCTCGCCTCGCGAAGCGGCTCTCTGCCTAAATATTATTCTCCCGCCTCTCGTCCTCCGTCTTGTGCTCCGCTGGCTTGGGTTGGGCGCCTCCCTGGTGTCCGGGCGGTTCGACTTCCCTCGGCCCCTCGGGGGCCCTGGCTAGTCGAACCATCGCCGTCCTGCTGGGTCCTCGTTTTGTTTGAGCTCCCAGAACACGACTTCGCAGAGTATCGGCTGTAGGCAGTTTTGGATCAGTGGCACTCGACGGGAATCGTCTCGTTTTTGATGTGGCCCAGTGGGGCCCCAGGTACTTCGCCTCCCGTGGAGGCGCTGGCATGGAATGCCCATCGGGGCAGTAAAAAGGCATTGATTTGTGCTCTGGAGCTTTATCAGTGTCTTCATCGGACCGCAGCTCGCTCTCCTCCTCCTCCTCTCCTCCTCCTCTGCTGGTTTGATTGGCTGGGTCTGCCAGACGTTGCTAATTCTTAAATGTGTCGAGCTGCGGTACAGTGTCGTGTTCTGGGATCAGTGGCACTCGATGGGAATCGTCTCGTTTTTGATGTGGCCCAGTGGGGCCCCAGGTACTTCGCCCCCCGTGGAGGCGCTGGCATGGAATGCCGATCGGGGCACTAAAAAGGCATTGATATATATATATATATATATATATATGTATCAACAGTATATCCACTGATACACGTTGGCTCGCCTCGTGATCGGTCGTTCGGCGTCGATTTCGAGAGTGCTGTGTTTTCCTCGGAGGACACATGTTTTCTGCTGCTGCGTATTGTCATCAACGTTTGTCGCGCGGGGAAATAGAACATAGGAGCAGGAGGAGGAGGAGGAGGAGGAGGAGGAGGAGGAGGAGGAGGAGGGTGGAACGATGAGGACACATAAAAGAATTATGATGAGGAAAACAAGTCAAATGGGGGTTGTCATGTAGGCACGAGGAGGGGGAGGAGGAGGCGGCGGAGGAGAAGGAGGAGGAGGGACGAGCGGCGAGGAGAGCATGGAGGAGGAGGAGGAGGAGGAGAAGGAGGAGGGAAAAGGTGGAGGGGCGAGGATAGAAAGAGGAGTGAGGAAGAGGAGGAGCAGGAGGAGGAGGAGGAGGAGATGTAATAGGGGCTGTCAGGAGGAGGAGGAGGAGGAGGAGGAGGAGGAGGAGGAGGAGGAGGAGGAGGAATAGGAATAGGAGGAGGAGGAGGAGGAGGAGGAGGAGGAGGAGGAGGAGGAGGAGGAGGAGGAGGAGGAGGAGGAGGAGGAGGAGGAGGAGGAGGAGGAGTTTTCATTGTCCTGCTCCGTCGTCATGTCGTAAATTCAGCACAAGGGGATCTCTTCTCTGGCCCGGGGTCGTCAGAGATCGGTATACGGTTTAAGACCAGCCGGGAAGGGCGGTGAGGTGGTGCTTTCGAGAATTCGGGGCCAGGTCGTCGTCCGTTTTCGTCAACGTTGTCGACGTCGTCGCCGGATGGGGCGGGGAAGGGGGAGGAGGAGGATGTGGAGGAGAAGGATGAGCAGGAGGGGAGGAAAAGGACGAGAGGAGTAGGCGCAGAAAGGAGGGTTGGTAACTTTCCCCTGGAGGCCTCCTTGGGCTCCAGGGGAGGGCCATAAGGTCCGTCCTCTCGCCCCTCCCTCTCATTATTTCTCTCCCTTCCCCCCCCTGCTCCCTCACTGTTTCCTCCTCCCCCCCATTCCTCCGAGAACGTCATAAGGTCGAGGGCGGGTCGGAAACGACTGCTTCGTCTCGCGAGGAGATCCGAGAGCCAAACTGTTGGTTCCCCAGGAGCCCATGGGGTTTGTTCTCCAAGTGGAAGGAGGAATGTGAGACGGAGGCGCAAGGAGGAGGACAATAATTGGAGGACGGGGGAGGGATGTCGGAGGAATGGTGCGGGAGGGCAAGTAGAGAGGACCCCAAACGAGAGCAGCTAGGTTTTTCAATGAGTTGGAGGTGGTTTGTTGGCCACTGGGAGGTTTCTCGCCGCTGCGGTTGGACTCTGTTTGAATATGTGGCCCGAGCGCACCCTCAGGAAAGGTCTGGATCCGACCGGCTTTAAAAGGGAGAACTCGGGCCTCTTAGCAATTCGGAGCAAATCGCGCCAGATACGCTTTCGGGGCTCAGAGGCCGCCTCTGGTCACCGGGTCGGTTGAAACATCGCTAGGGGTGGCAAATTCTGCCTCAGGGAAGGAGCTCGGAGGTTCGAGGGCCAGCGATTCGAGAAGGTCGGATCGTCGGATGTCTGGGTAGGATCAAACAGTGACGACGCGCCCGGGCCAGTTTGGATGCCTGCAGCCAAATGGGAGTGGCTTGGGGGTGCACAACTCCTCCTCGTCCTTCTTGCTCTTCCACAAGCTCCTGCTGCTGGTGCTCCCCCTCCCGTGTTTCCCCTTCCGCTTGCGCCTCGTCCAATTCGATGGTGTATCCCAGCATGCCTTCCCCAAAGAACTGAAACACGATTTCGTCCCACTTCTCTGTCTGGACCCTCTCCCTCTGTTTTGAAGGCTGAATCTCTTGCCCCTCTTTTTGCGGGCAAGGCCCTGGGTTGAACACGGGCACCACCTCCCTGCATGCAGGTCACTGTGGCGCCGGGCCGCCTCCCACGACAAGCCGTAGGGCGAACGGCAGTTATGATCTGTTGAGCTCCTTCGCTGGGCCAGGGCGGGGGCGAGCGAGCGGGGACCGGGAATGGGAGAGTCACGGAACCCGCTACGCGAAGCTGGTTCCGGCCCCGCCGCCTGGCACGCTTCTCCTGGACACGTGGGCTCGCCTCCAGAGGCGCCGGGGTGGGGGGGCGCCTTGAGCACCACCTGCGGGCAGCCGATCCGCGGACCCCTGTGCTGTCCTCCTCCTCCTCCTCCTCCTCCTCCCTCTCTCCTCCTCCTCCTCCTCCTCCTCCTCCTCTCTCCTCCTCCTCCTCCTCCTCCTCCTCCTCCTCCTCCTCCTCCTCACAGCGGCGCGGGTCTGCCGCGCGCCGACGCTCTGTGGTCGGGAGCGGGCAAGCTCCTTCACCGCCCCCGAAAAATTGGACGGCTCCCCCGCAGAACCCCCAGGGGGGACGGGTCTGCCAGACGGAGCTTATAGCTTCTGCTACACGGGAGCTCGGTGGGCAGCTGCACGAATCGGTAGGGCGGCGCCGCGAGACCCCCAGCGGCCAGCCCGCCAGCCGTCGCCGCCGCGCTGGCCGCCGCCTTCAGGCCACCTCGCCAGCCGGCCGCCGCCGCCCCCAGCAGTCAGCAGCAGTGCAGCAGCCCAGCGCCGCGGCAGCTCAGCACCGCCACACGCGGCAGCTCAGCCCCGCGCAGGAGCCGCTCAGCGCCCTGGGCCGCGCCTGCCGCGGGCCCAGCGCAGACCGGCCGCGCGGCGTAATTAGCTGCTGCGCCAGCTCCCGCTGCAGCGCGCAGGTGAGCACCTCGTAGGCGCGCGCCAGCTCCTCCGGCTGCGCGTCCTCCAGGAGCTCCCCGGCGTGGCTGAGCAGACGGGCCCGCGCCGCGCCTCCCAGGCGGCCCCCCGTTGCCAAGGCGAAAGCGGCCAAGCGCTCGCTGGGGCAGCGCGCGCGCTTGGCGCGCTCGGCCCGGCGCGCCGCCTCGCCGGGGCGCAGCGCCGCCGCGCGCACGGCGGGTCCGTCGCCGGCGGCCGGGCGGCGGTGGCAGACAGTTACGTCCAACCGCCGTCTGCCGTCGGCGTCGTCGTGCTCGACGTCCAGGGCGGCCTGCTCCAGGGCCGCCGGCTGCCCTGCCCGCGGCGCTCGGGCCCCGTTGCAGGTGGGCACTCGCTGCTCGTAGAGCGGCGCGCAGCTGGCCCACCTGCCCGCCAGGCTGCCCGCGGCGCGCGCCTCCTCCTGCTCCTCCGCCTCCTGCTTCTCCTCCTCCCTCCTCCCTCCTCCCCCTGTCCTCCTCCCTCCTCCCTCCTACCTCCCCCCCGCGAGTCAGCCCCGAGAGAAGGCGGCGTGGTGCCGGCCACCCCGGAGTTCCTCGCGGCGCTCAAGAAGCGCTGCAAGGAGGCGGGCAGCCTTCAGGGCGAGATGAGGATTAAGACGGGGATGAGCACTGAGGATTAGCATTGCCACAAGGGTGCTTGGCACAAATGTCACGCGCCGAAGCTCCAAGCATCGCTTGGATCCCTGCCTGGCGACAATTTCCCAGTTCGCAGCAGTATGAACAGCCCATTCAGTGAGAGCAAGATGGCATGCACATGTATGGATCGATTGTGCTACCTTACTCCATTCCCTTGGCCTCCAGCGATGACAGGCTCCATTCGGCTCACGGCCTGTTTTTGCATTGATGGCGAAATTGGGTTGTTGAAAACATCGACGAGACCAACTCCGAGTATTCAGAGTAGCTGGCTGGCCTCATCAGCAGTAACCCGGGCAGTCTACAGAACAATGGAAGAGATGCGGATACGTTACCTTGTTTCAGGAGCCGCGGTTTCTTCCTCCCCATCTCTCCCTCCCCCGATCCTTCTTCCCCTTTCACTCCTCCCTTTCCCCTCGGTCTCCTCTTTCTTCTCATTCTCCGTCTCGTCCTCCTCATCCTAATTTTCCCGTAATGCGTGCCCTTCCTGGGATCTTCGTAAACAAAACCGTCGGATACCTTGGTCAAGATCGGGAAAACCACGACCACCCGAAGAGCTCCACAGACAGGCTGAGATTCTTCTCTATTTTGAACCTCTGGGCGGGATCCGCCCAGAATTCACAGACAACGTTCAGACCATCCACCCCGAGATCTGCAGGAACGGAACATGCGATGCATTCCATTTCGAGGCGGGAAGCGTACGATTGCAAGCGTCCAACATCATCTCTTGACGATGGACAGCTATGTGAAGTAGTCGAACCATCAAGACCATGCTTAAAACTTCAGGGAATCCAATGGGGAGGATTTGCCCAGAACCACTGCCTGTGCGATCGATGTTCGGGGACCTCGGCAGGCGGTGGATATGGATATATGTGGGCCTCAGCGGGCCAGAAGATATCTACATTCACCGCCTCCTGGGGTCCCCCCACAACGGCTTCCAGGCGGTGGATACCATGGGACCCGACCTCACGAACGAATTGAAACACAGTGCACACATCGGCGAGATTCTTGGACCCAATCTTCATGCTGCATTTTTCGAGCCCGATCGACCTGTGATGGTCCCGGGGCCCGACACAGGGCGAAACGCCTGGTGTGCGGAAAAACGCAGCGCCCGGAGCCTCAGGGTATAGACAAGTCCCCGCCTCTCATCACGAGCGGCGAGCCCATCCGTATCCGCGCCCTCGGGGTCCGGGCTCTGGGGCGCGATCCCGCGGATACGCGGTCACACCGATACGTTCCGCGCGGGGCATCCTTAACAGAAAAACTCAGTAACCGCCGGGTCGCGGCCCAGGGGCCCGGCCCGCGACACTGCGAATACGGATACCGTCAAGATGCTGAAGTAAGGTCAACTTTGGGCGCAGGAGGGGACCTTGATTTCGGGCCGTTCCGCAGATCCAGGCCGGACGAAACTATTCGTGACCGAGGCTCGCCGTGGCCCAACAAAAATCATTGTTCCTTGTTGAGAGTGTCTTCAGACAGTCGGGTCATTTTGCACGATTTGAAATGCTGCCCGAAGTTTCGAATCGCACGAAGGCACAAGACTGTCAGTCCAACCAGGCCAGGGGCCGTCGGCCCAGCCAGCATGGGGAACATGGGTTTGGCGGCAGGTCGCGGGCGGTGGGCGCAGCGTCGGGCGCCCGAAAACGAATGCAGGGGCCCCCGCAGAGATTGACGAGGGTCCCCAGTCGGGAGTGTCAACCTCGACTCGGGAAATTATGTGGATCTGACAATTGTTGGACGGATCCTGAGCGAATTCGATGTGTTTTGGACGGATCCGAGTGGTGGGAAAATGGCGCGGTTAGCACGGATCGTGTCGGACCATTGCACCCTAGCATAATATGAATTAAAGGCTCAGAAGGATTCCGAGGACGGCTTGCGCAGGGAGACGGAGCATGCGCGACATGGGAGGAAGGCGCCTTGCAGAATTTTCCAAGGCGCTCTTCCCAGAGCTTTACTCAGGCGGTTCCTTCCAGAATTTTCCTCAGACGGCTCCTTCTAGAACTTCATTGAGCTGCCCCTCTTGGTTCCGACGTTTTGGCCGTCGCGCGTTCTGATCACTGGACCTCGCCGTCGCCAGCGTCGTCGACGTCGTCGTCGTCGTTGCTGGCCGGCACTTTGTGGAGATTCAGACCTTGGTCACGCGTTGATTCAGTCGCGCTTACGATCCAGTCAAGTTCAGTCACGCTTCCAGTCCAGGCAGTTTGTATTCATTTTTCCTGCCTGATTGTCTTTTGTGGTAGCACGACCACTGCTGTGCTTTCCGCCCCCGCCCCGCAGAGAAAAACAACTGGAGGTGGGCGCGCTGCTCGTCTTCGACGAGGTCCAGTGCGGCCTGGGTCGCACTGGCAAGCTCTTCGCCTACCAGCAGAGCGGCGTGGCGCCCGACCTGATAACCCTGGCGAAGCCCCTGGCCGCCAGAGGGGGGAACAACGGACACCGACACTCCTGGGCGCATGTCTTTCCCACCGGCCGGCCCGACCCGATTCGATTCCGAGGGTCCGAGGACCCGCTCGATTCCGAGGAAAATAGGCATCGATCCGATTCCGACCCGACCCGATTCGTTGCTTAGGAAAACGGACACCGACACCCAGAGGGTCAAGAGGTTTGGAGACGACTGGGGTGGCAGAGGTAGCCCAGCAGTGATTTTGGCCAGCAGGAAGGGGAGAGAAAGGGGCTCCCCCGTCGCCACGGCTGGACGCGGCTCGAAGTTGGTCGGTTCCACCCCAGAAGGGGTCCGGAGACCAGTGATGAGCGGAATGCCCTCTCGCCCCCTCTTGTGTCCGACTTTCTCGGGGTCCATTTCGAGCTCCATCTCGATCCCATCGATCCGATTCGACATCGATTCCAGCAGGCTTGATCCGACTCGATTCTGATGTTCCGGCGATTCGATTCGGCACAATTCTTGCATGGTTTTGTTGTGCATCTTGGCGCGGCCGATTCGATCCGATCCCGACTACATGCCGATGCGGCCCGATCCGACGTTTGTTCCGATCCGATCCAACATGATTTCCCGATTCGATACTGATTGGCTTTGAAGTTTGAAGGGCAAGAAGTCATGCATGGTATCCATACAAGTAACGTCGCCAGATCTGTCGACTTCTCATAACGTTCAAAGTTCCCCTGGTTCCACTCGTGTTGCAGGTCCACTCGTGTTGCAGGAACGAGGGAGGGGCTCGATGCATACGCGAAGCCGTGTGGTTGGCCAGGGAGCCAGTGAGTCCGGTAAAGGATTTCGGCGTATGGACGCTGCAGCGTCCCACAGGTTGGTCAGCTGGGGCGTCTGCACACCGAGCTTCTCGGCCGATGAAGCAGCGTGGTGTATACATCGAGCCCTTCCCACGGGCACCGACACCGCCGTTCCCTGGAGTCCAGCATCATGGAGAAACTGTGACGGGCGTTGTTCCCCTCATTTTCATGGGCAACGTTAAGGGGATGATAGGGTCAGGGGGGATGCATCGAACCCCCATCGTCCATGAATCGTCGACAGTTGCATGATAGCCCCACCACGCCCAGAAAAGCGCGGATTTGCTAACAAAGGCCTTTAGCCGATCTATGGGCGACGTATCGCCAAGTCTGGGTCGTTATGAGCTCCCCTGAGTCGGGCGGGGCTAGGACAAGGATAGATCCGTTCCAGAGCGTTCCTGAACGCGCCTTCCGGAACGCTCTGGGAAAGCCGCGGCGCCCGAGACATACTCCAGAGCCGCCGGATCTCAGAGGTTCTCTGCTTATCTTCACCCGATGTTGTCCTCGTCTTGGCTTCGTCTTGCCGAGCCTGCCCCGCACGAGCGCTGCCCCGCGAGTTTGGACAGCTGGAGGCCCGCTTCGCGGGGCCCCAGGGCCATCACCTAAAACGGTCGAGGGTTGCGCGCGCTCTCTCTCTCTCTCTGCCTGCCTCTTCCTCCCATCTCTCCCCAAGAGTCGCGCGACGTTGTGCTTAGATTGTTTTTTTACTTGTGTGGGGTTGTTTGTACGGAAAGGTTGTATGGACAAAGCCAAAGAACATGACAAACACACATGACAAAAAAAAGGATCGAGGGTGAGAGGCCGGTCCCCGGGAAGGGATCGGGAGGCCCGATGGCCCCCGCCAAAAGGGAAAGCCGGGCGGTCGGCATCTAATTGCGGGTGGCTGCTCGGCGATGCCTGGGGGGGTGATCGGACACCTGAGCGACGCAAAAAATCGGGGTCGTCCGCGCCTACATTCGTGCGTAAGTTGCCCGCGTAAGGTCGCGCGTAAACGCCCTCGTCTCCAATGTGGCTTGCCGCGCTGGCGGCCCGCGTAAGCCACCGCGCAAGGTCGCTATGTCATCGCGCAATCGACCCCTTTTTGATCGTCGCTCATTTGGGTTTGTCTTGCGCTGGTCATTTGGCCTAGACTCGATTTGGCCTTGGGCTTGGTTTCGATTCGATGCTCGTTCTCCCCCCCCCCACCCCCCAACCGCGTGGTCCCTGGAGTGGCCTCCAGGGACAAGCCGGGCATGTGATGCACGATTCGGCTCAGCTGAGGTCGGTGACCTTGCAGGGGCTCCTAAGGGCTCTTGAGGGCTCCAGGGATCCAGGATCGAGGCTCCAAGATTCGAGTTTGAGTTGCGCTTTTTTTCATATCTTGTGCCCCACTCTCGGGAGGCTCGTCTTGGACGGGGCTGGAACGAAGATCAACCCATTCCAGAGCGTTCTGGAACGCTCTAAGAGCGTCCTGGAGCGCTCCGAGAAGGCCGCGGCGCCCGAGACATCCATCCACATGCAACAACAACAAGCCGCACCGCAGAACCTCACTAGCGCCCAGGGACAGTGAATGACCGTTCGGCCTCCTCACTCTGAGATGTAATATATATATATATATATATATATATGTAAATGTGTATGTGTGTGATTTCATATCCCGCTCGCGGGAACCTCTTGTGCCGACCACGCGCAAGAATGACCTTTCGCTGGAGTGACCGAGTGACCCGGGTGCGCGCCCACATGGGGTGGCCCCGGCACCGGCCTGCGCGCTCGAGCCTGGCCCAGCCGCGGCTCCCAGAAGCCGCGCACCCAACCCGGACCCGCACGTCGTGATTTTTGTTCGCAACGTCGGCACCCAGGAGGTTTGGACCCCTTCCCCAGGCTGGTGTCAGGTCGCATTCGGCGCGCTGAATGGGATCGAGTGGGAAAATATCAATGCGGCGAACTTTCCGGGCGCATTCGACAGCCAGGCCCATTCGGCGGACTCCAGCCTCATTCAGCCAGAACATGCAATATTTGAACATGTGTTTGATTAATTATGTAAGCTTACCCGATCTGGTCTCATTGGGCGACTTTGCAGAATTACCCTGGCGAGGTACCCACCCCCTGCGCAATGCGGGGAAAATGCAAACATTGAAAAGATACTCAAACTTGTTTCTAGTTGTAACAGATAATTACACACTTTACAACATAACTAAACATAGCAAAAGATACTAACCAGGGTGTTGGATGTAAACTATATTAGTCAAAACGCCAGCGAATATGATAGTCTGCATAGGAGCGCGTGGGGCTCTTACTGGCGGGTCGGGGCCTGCGTGCTGGAGGTTCTTGGGTTCCTTAGCGGGTCTTCGCACTAGGGCCCTCGCCATCTTCCATTCGGTCGAGGCGCCCCCTCCGAGAAGCGGCAGGAGTAGCGGCAGCCGAATTAGAAAAGCGCAAGGCGGAAGTGGCAGGAGCCGTTGCCAAGACACATACTTTAGAGGGTCCACATCTTGAAACTCACACCTAAGACGGGAGAGCGGAGAGGCGCCAGCCAACACATTTTTATATATATATATATATATATAGAGAGAGAGAGTGTGTGAGACATACACATATAAATGCAATCATACACACATTTATGCATATATATACACAGAATGCGAAGACCTTAAACAACAGATGAGAACGAGAGGGGAGGAGCAGAGGCCCCGAAAAGGCGAGGGGGAAGGAGAACACAGCAGAGCTGTTCAGGGCCTCGAAGCGGGGGGCCGAGGGGATCGCCACCCCGACGGGGAGGAAACCGGAGGAGCAAGAGGAGGGGGCGAGGGCGAATGATCCCCAGACCCACGCGTGTTGCGCAGAGCTGGCTTTTTGAGCACAAGTGCAATTGCCACACATCCATTTGCTCCCCGTTTCACCCCCCCTCCGTTTGATCGGCTTCCATCCCGTGCAACTCACAAGCCACCGAGCACACAGATCAGCACAGAGAGCAGGCGTTTGGTCAACACATTGCCTTGGGCAGCGTATTTGTATCGGGGGTGAGATCGAAGTGGAACGGAGAGCCCCCCATACCGGGAAATCGGTTTCGGTTTCGTGTTCGTGCGTGCCGTGCGTGCGGGCGAGGCGAAGTTGCGTGGGCGGGCGAGAAGAAAGTCTCCTCCGGCTGAGGCGCGGCCGGACCAAATGATTCCTTTCCTGGGGCCGGTGGCCCGTGGTGTCCCGCCGGTGTCCCGCCTCCGGCTGAGGCGCGGCCGGACCAAATGATTCCTTTCTGGGGGCTGGTGGCCCGCGGTGTCCCGCCGGTGTCCCACCGGTGTCCCGTCGGTGTCCCGATGATGATGATGATGATGATGATGATGATGATGATGATGATGATGATGATGATGATGATGATGATGATGATGATGATGTTGAAGATGTCGATGATGATGATGATGATGATGATGATGATGATGTTGACGATGTCGATGATGATGATGTTGGTGATGATGATGATGAGGATGATGATGATGATGATGGTGATGGTGATGATGGTGATGATGATGGTGTCCCGATGATGATGATGATGATGATGATGATGATGATGATGATCATGATGATGATGATGATGATGATGATGATGTTGACGATGTCGATGATGATGATGTTGGTGATGATGATGAGGATGATGATGATGATGATGATGGTGATGGTGATGATGGTGATGATGATGGATTCCCGATGATGATGATGATGATGATGATGATGATGATGATGATGATGATGATGAGGTTGCCGATGTTGATGATGATGCTAATGATGGTGATGGTGGTGATGATGATGGTGTCCCGATGATGATGATGATGCTGATGATGATGATGATGACGATGATGTCGCCGATGATGATGATGACGATGATGATGATGATGGTGTCCCGATGATGATAATCATGATGTTGATGAGCCTGATGGTGTTGATGATCATGAGATGATGATGATGATGATGATGATGCAGATGATGATAGTGTCCCGATGCTGATGATGATGATGCGGTTGATGATGATGCTGTTGATGAGGATGGTGATGATGACGATGGTGTCCCGATGATGATGTTGATGATGATGATGATGACGGTGATAGTGTCGCGATGATGATGTTGTTGATGATGAGGATGATGACGAGGTGATGCTGATGATTTTGGCGATGGTGGCCCGATGATGGTGATGAT